TGACTGGGGGCCACCTGGAAGGTACTGAAAACGCAGCCCCCGGTCGCTCCAGCTTCTGGACAAGGGCTCCAAGGAACAGGCTGCCTGGCTGGGTGACCAAAGCTCATGAAGCCAGTCCCCAGGAAGCCGCTTCTTGACTGATGAGTCACAGAGTGACTCAGGGCAGAGTTGTGCCTGTTGCTGGCATCCCCGGCCTGTGCTGTGGGCTAGGGGTGTGGGGCAGGGGCTGCAGGACTCGCCTCTGAGTCACGGAGGAAGCGGCTGCCCAGCTGCCCGAGTCTCCGCAGGCAACTCCAAAACTCAACCCCGACCGAGGCTGCGGCTTTGACAAAACTTCCGGAGACCCTGCAGGGGGCCAGGCCCTTGGGAGGGAGGGAGGGAGGGTGGGCATGTGGCCACGTGGTGGGGGCCCAGGTCTGTCCTTCTGGAGGCAGGCGACCAGGCGCCAGGACACAGAAGCCCATAGGCGCAGCCCCCGCCCTGGTCCCCCCAGCCAACCTCAGGGCCTGGGGCAACCTGACCTCACCATCACAGGGCAGGGGCCTCTCCTGAACCCAGTCGGGCCCATCCCTGAGGTGAGAAGGTAGCAACCCCCCCGCCACACCACTGGAACCCCCAGAGGGATGTGGGGTAGCCAGCCCACAGGAGGATGCGCCCACAACCTGCTTCCAGCAGGCGGAGGGGGCATGCTTTCCTGGGGGCCTCTTCTGGGTGTTCACGTTCTCCCTTCAGTAGAGAAATGGTCGGGGCCCAGGCGGACATCACGATCCCAACGAGCTTGTCCAGAACTTCCACAGAACTCACGTGGCTGTGTCATTCTGGAGCAGGCCTACGAGGCCACATGCCTGTACACAATGCTGGCAGCCCACGGCCCCCAGCCACTATGAGAACGCAAACACAGGGACATCTGTGTCCACAAACATGATAAGATACTTCAGGGCTTGGGAGAACCAGACCCAAATCTTTGTGCCAAATCCGTGTCTAACAGCATGGCACTCGAGTGACACTCCATCGAGTCTCTGCTTTGAGCCACTGGGCAGTGCGTGGATGCATCCCAGAGGATCCCCGGCCTGTGGGGGGCCAGGGTCTGGCTGACTCGGGGGGCAGGTCCTCCTGCAGCTCATCAGTGCTCTGGTCCGCTGCTCCTTTAGCTTTGCCAGGCACTCCAGACTCACCACCTCCATCTGCAAAACCTTCAAACACACACAGATGAGGAGGAGCATCTGGTACATCCGAGGAAGGCCCATGCCCGTGCCAGAGCCAGGCTGCATGGCAATTCTGGGATCCAAGGATGAGCATCCAGCCAGCCCCACTGCAAGGCCACATGGCCAGGGCTCAGATCAGAGGCCCTCTTGTGGGAACACTGGGGAGAGAGAATGACACTGGGCCCCATGGGAAAGATCCTGTCAGAAATGAGCCCAAGGACCTGGGGGGACAGGACGGGGGCAGGCAGGCCATGGGAGGGGCTGGGTTTTTTCTCCCTCCCTCCTGCTCACTGCAGGCCTCCCAGAGCCTCCTGGCCTCTGCAGCCAGCTGGAAGGGCTGGGACGGGGTCAGACCAGGGGCTGCCCCTTGATGGCTGAGCCCAGCGCCTGGTACCTGACAGGTACTCAGAGCACATTTGCTGAATTAACGGTTATCTGAATGCACTGCAGTTGGACAGTCTGCTCAGTGTTTGCTTCTAAAAGTTAGTGACATAAGAAAACTCTTCATCTAGAAGAAAGGGGCAGGAGGAGCTGCCTGAGACCCCACGGCCTCCCCTGGCTGTCCTGCCCTGAGCCTGGGCACAGCAGATGGCCACAGGAGGGCCCTCCATGCCTCAGACAGGGATGACCATGCCCCAGACCTTCCCTTACTGGATGCACAGGCCCAGCCACGATCCAACAAGTGAGAAAAGTGGAAATAGCTGGGTTTGGAAAAGCAAAGTCTGCCCCAAACACCGTGCTTCCAAGGTGAACTCCACCAAGTAACAGCCACACACGCAAGGACACGGCTCGAGGTGGCAAGGCAGGAGTCATCCTTCAGCAGACCAGGTGAGATGGGGCCTGAGACTCACACAGCAGTGTGACCCCACACCCGGCTGCTGCCTGCCAGGAGGTCCCCGCAACTCCCCCAGGGTGCCTGTGTGATGCTGTGGTGCGCGCCTCGCTGCGTCACCCCAAAGCAGCAGGCTGAGCTGACCTGCCCTCTGGGTTCCATAAATGAAACGGCTGTGGTCCACCTTGTCAGTGCACAGACCAGAGCCGGGGCGTGGGAGCAGGGCCACGAGGGCCTCACAGAGACGGCAGCTTCAGTGCTGCTCGCGCCCTCTCTGCTGTCACTCGGCAAATTCAAAGCCACAGGATGAGGTCACTTTCCTGATTTCTCAAGAAAACAGCTCATCAAGATTTGGGTACCTACTCAGGAACTGCGATGTCATCACAATTTCCGACAGGCCCTTGGTCCTGACTTCCATTCAGCACGGCTCACACCCACCCCGACCCACACCCAGTACCAAGCATGGGCGTGGGGGGGAGAGCAGAGAAGAGGAGAGATGGGGGAGGGGTGGGACAGGCAGAGGATCTGAGGGACAGAGGCCCACCCGCAGCAAGCACAGGGGCCCGTCTTCTCTGCAGCCCTCTGATGCTGAAGGGTCTTCATGCCAAAGGGAGCTGGAGGACTCGGCAAGCCTGCGTGACAAATGGGTGTCATCAGCTCAGGGCCTGCACATCAGAGAGGAGCCCACCTGGCACCAACACACATGGGTGGACTGAGAGGCTCAGCTCATTGGGGCTGGGTGGACACAGATGGCACAGGGCAGGGGCCAGGTCTCAGCCTAATGTAAGGTATCCTCGCTGCAGCTCTGGGGGCCTCTGAACGGCTTCCCCACTTGGAGATGTGTCACTCCAACACTGGCCACCCTGCGTGGCCTGTAGGTGGGGGCCCCCACTCAGGGGCTGACATCCATGTGTGATGGGCCCGGGCCCATCTGCGGGGTATGCAGAGCAAGACGCTGCCCTCCCGGGCTGGCTAGGCCCACTGGGTCCCCTGTACACCTGAGCACACCTGCCCCCTCTGGGAGAGCTCATGGGCACCCATCTCTGTGGTGACACCCTCACAGGAGCTCAGCGGGGCTCTGACAGGCCAAGCCGGCCCATCTCAGGGCTCCAGATCCTCCTGCGTGTGTGCAAGTGGTGAGCCCTGCACAAGGTCTGACAGCGTCAACACTGGACAGTCCTGGATCCTGCAGATTTGAGAGGTTGTAAAGTGAGATGAGGCCAAAGAAGAGGGACACCCTGTCCTCAAGGCCAACGTGCCTGCTGCGGTTCCCAATCTCAGATTCTTGGGGGGTGGTCTGGGCAGACTGGGCGAGGGGCAAGGGCCGAGCCAGGTGGCTGCTGGTGGGGTCGCAGCCTCAGAAGGAGCAGTTATGAAAAGTGTCTTCACTGTCCCGAGGCGGACAGGTCAGGCTGGGAAGGAGCTTGAGGGCCGGGGAGGCCTGGCCAGTGGCACAGCCGCAGACCACGGTCACGTGTGGATCGGCTGCGGAGGGGACACAGGGCTGTGGGCAGCAGGGGCTTCGTCACCCTTCACCTCTAGGTTTTCTCTCTCACAAGTTAAATGGGTCCACGAGAACAGACGCTGGAGGCTCGCGGGCTGTACCGAATGCAGTGACACAAACGGCTGTGCCGGGCCGGTCTGCGTGGACGGCGCCACCCTCCGTCCTGTCCCGCAGGGCACACAGGCTGCGCTCGAGGGCCCCGGGTGCCTTGGTCACCACCCTGTGGATGTCCGTCTCCGAAACACAGAAGCGCAGCTTGTGAGACACTTTCCTGCAAAGGAAGTGGGGGTGACCCCTCGGAGCTGCGGCCACAGGGCCAGGACTGTCACCACCGGCCACCTCATTCGCAGGAGTCACAGACGCCCTCGCCGCCGTCGCTGAAGTCGCGGGCCAGGCGGGAGCCCGCGCAGCCTGGAGTGGACCGCGTAGCGCGGCGGCGCCCGGCACGGCGGCCGCGCGTGGGTCCGTTGCCGGGAGACGGGCCGGAAGGGGCGGGACGCGGACTGGTAGGGGGCCGTTGCTGTGAGACGGGCCGGAAGGGGCGGGGCGCGGGCTTTCCAAGGGCAATGGCTACAATGTAGCCTTGGAGCCGGCTCCGGCTCTGGCTAGCGCTCCTCCCGTCAGTGGACTGGGATTACTTGATTAAGGTTTACTATTAACTTCCAGGGAGAAAGGAAGGTAAAAATGGTTTGACTTATTTACAGCGTACATTTTATTTCAACAAGCACCGGACCCTTAAACTTTGTAAACTGAATCCCACATGCACCTCTCCCCGCTGATCTAATAAAAATCTCCCATCACTCAGAACTTCGACCACGGTTTATTGGTAAAATACAAATTTTTCATTATTAAGGAATAAAAGTTTTCAGCCCTGCTGAAGGTGCACCTGTGGTTTCAAGAGAATGACACAAGTCAGACCACACACACACACACACACACACACACACACACACACGCGCGCGCGTGCGCGCACACACGGGGCTTTTCCTTCTTAAATCTCATGGAAAACAGCCTCCAAAAACGGAGGGACTTGGAATTGGATGGAGATATGATCCACTCACTGACAACTCTAAAGGGAAAACGCCCAGAGCTGACCTGATCTTGGGAGGGGGCCACCCACCAGTGGGCGTCTTTCTGGTAAGGTAGCACATAAGCACGTGCCGAGGACTGGACAACACCGAGCACAGCTGGAGCTCAGAGGCCTGAGGGCAGGTGCAGGGACGGCCTGGAGGGACTGTGTTCCTTGCACACGCACACACACACACAGCAGCCGGCAGCTCACCCCAGCCTTGTGACTGCAAGTGGGCTAAGCGTGGTCAATGTGGGTGAGTAGGGACTCGACTGGCCCCAGCCAGACAGCAAGAGCCTCTCAGGCAGATACATTCCTGAGGTCAGAACAGGGGCTGAGGGTCCAGCCCAGAGTACTGTGCTGAGGGGCTCTCTGGCTGTGACCCTGGGATGCTGAAGCACGTGGCTCTTCTGTTGTGATTTCTCCAAACTTCCAGACAGGTGCACGATGTTCCCCCCACCCCTGTGGTGTTTTGGGAGCTCAAGCCTGTCACCTCCTCTGGATAGGGGGCTTGAGAGCAACCTTTGGGCCAACAACTCCCTTGGAAGAGAAAAAGAGAATTGATATTAAAACCACTTGCTACACAGGGTACAATTGAATCTTATTTCCCTTTACATTTCTTAAAATTTAGATTCTTAGTTCATCCAACAATATGATGGCCCTGTCCACACAATGATAACTGTGACAGCCGCAACACTAATAATTAAAACTTTATATAAAAGATGGAGCTTCTTACTTACAATAGTGTGGGGGAAAAGGAAAAACTGACAGCCAGTAGAAGCCACATTCACTAAAAAGTCCTCTGACGGATTATAAAGCAGAGGGGTTATAAAACAAGCACTAAAATAAGTCGACAGCTGGTGAGTTTTTTCATTGTTTTCAACTAATCATCAAAGTTAATCAGCCCAGAATTTAAAGGTACCTCTCCACCCTCCAGGACAGTGCCATAATCAGCCCAATGGGGAAGGCGGGTCTCTGCTGCCCCCACACAAGTGGACACCGCCCTGTGTGTGGGGAACTCACCTGAGCCAGGCCTGGCTGGGCCTTGCCAACCGCAGGCTTGACCGGAGGCATTGGGGGCGCACAGGTCGGCTTGACAACCTGGGAGGGAAGCAGACAGCTACGGTTGGATGCCAATGACTTCATGCAGGTCTACGTCCCAGCACCGTCCTTCTCTGTACCCGTCAGCAAATCTCCCCAAGGCCTCTGCTCTGCTCCAGACCTACCTGCAGGCTCCTGCCTCACTGGGCTGTTCTATAGGAAGACCCTCTGCAGCTGCCACCGCCCACAGAAGAAAGCCCAAACATCGCGGGGCCCCCATTTCCGGCCCATCTGCCCCCATCCCACCGTCCATATTACCCTCAAAAACCACCGAAATTGCCAGAATGTGGGTCTTTGGAAGCTCAAAACCAAGAATAGCTACTAAAACATACATTCCTTTGCAGTTCAGCTTTTCCCGGGCGGGAGGGGATGCTGGGCTCTGGGGCTGAGGCAGAAGGTAACCCACCCGATGGCAGGTGGCTCTGGCCGGAAGCCTGGGTGGGCGGAGCATCTAATTTTTCAGCAACTCCCCAAGGGTCCTCCTGAGCAGTGGGGGAGGCCCACTGGGTGGACTCCTCCCTGTAGCCTTTGCCCTGCCTCCTCCTGCCTGGCTATCACCACTTCCATGACCAGAAACCTCTATGCCCACCCTCACCCCCACGTCGACAGTCAAGACCCCCCAGGACTATTTCTTCTGCCTGCAACCATCCTTACTGCAACTCTAAAGTTAGCTTAAAAGAAGAAGTTAAAAGGGAAAGAGAAACGGAGGACCACAACCAAGCAAACACCGCGGCAGTGACGGCTGTGCCAGAATTCACGATGGATGCTAACACTGGCCTGTCCAAGTTTGTGCAGAAACGAGATTCAGTTTCAGTGCCTCCCCCACAATGTCTACTAACCGCAGAGGGAGGACAGCAACTTCACAGAGGAGAAGCCAGGTGGCATGTGGTGTCACCACAACATGACACGTGGCACCCGAGCCCCCACGCCAGCTCGGGGAGGACACCACGTGCCGTTCCCACCAAACGCACAGCGCAGCTCCCCCGCCCTTGCGCGGAGAGCAGCAGATGGCACTGAGGGGCAGGCTCCCGACCCCCAACGCGCAAGATGGGAGAGGGACCCCGGACCAGAAAGGGAAGCCAGGAGCAGCAGGCGTGACCCGGCGTGGCTGCCATCTCACTGTGTGGCGTGAGGACATGCGTGCTGTCCCAGAGGAGGCTGAGTGAGGGGTATGTGGAGACTCTGTGCTACTTTTGCAACTTCTCCCTAAGTCAAATCTGCTTGAAATTAAAATGAAAACACACACACACAAGCCCCTCTATGCCTGAGGGCAGGGGCTGCCTCATCCTGCTGCCTCCTTGGCCAGCCCTGGGAACAAACCCCTCGGACCTCTGTGGAGAGAGTGGGACTCGTCCTTCGGGGGCCGCTTGCAGCCGCACTTCGGGGAAGTCTCCTGGAGGGCCCCAGCTCTTTGTGCGCCTTCCCAGCCCCCACCTTGCCCTCCAGAAGCCCAGCGAGGTGCAAGAGGCCTGCCCGAGAGGACACCCAGCAACAGCGGGCAAGCGGGTGAGCCAGCAGATCCTTGGGAAGGGGGCACGCAGGCCCCAGAGTGACCACAGGGCTGTGCCCGAGTTGGTGCCCCAGGCCCCAACCTTTCCCACACAGCTCCCAGGAGTGGGAGAGGCCCCCGGAGTCAGACTCTCAGGATCTGCCAGGAAGGGACTCTGGCGATCACCTGGGGGATGTGGAGCCTATGCTGGGAACCAGAGGATTGGAGACCTGGGATGGAAGCCTCCATGTGCCAAGGCTCCAACAATTCATATTCTCAAAGATCTTTTCAAAACCACCAAAGCCCCACACCCAAGGGAAGTGATAGGATAGGCTGTCCCTGTAGCAAGTGGACAAGCCCCGCCTGCCCCTGTCCCGCCAGGGCCCTCATGCATGGCCACATCCTCTCACCTGCTTGGGCTTCAGCTCTGGCAGAGGCTTGGTGGGAGGAGCAGGTCTGAGCTGCTGGGGATGAGGAAGAGTCAGGACCCCATAAACCAGCCCTGTCCCTGTCTCGGTGCCTGTTCCTCCCCGACCTCACTGAATCTGTGCAGCGGCCACTACCCTGGGATCCCTGGCCCACAGTGCACAGCCCTCTGCAGACGTCCCCATCGAATCCAGCCGCCAGACACTCCACCTCCCAGGATGGCTTAAATGCCCTCCAGAAGGTCTGGCTGCCGCTGCTCACCTGTCCTGGTGCCTGCTGGGTGTAGACAGGAACTGGGAAGGCTGGGCTGGACGTGGCAGCTGAAGGCTGCAGAGGAAGGGCTGTGAGCCCAGGTCTTACCCTGGGATGGAAGGATGGGGTACTCCTCCCCCACCAGCCCCATTCAGCCTCGTGAACCCATCAGGGGAAGGAGCTTACAGCAGGAGGTAGCCTCTTCGGAGTCATAGAGGAAGCTGTGGGTCTGGGAGGCTGGCTGGGGCTGTTGGCAGAGACCAGCTCGGGGGATCCTTGTGTGGGGGCCATAGCCCTGGCCTTGGCTGGTGCAGGGCTGCCCCCGCCACGGAACAGGGGGTTGGAGAGCCCCACAGTGGTCTTGGGCGCTGCATTCCTGGGGAGGTGGCACAGGCCTGGTCAGGGTAGCCAGTGTGTCCTGGCTCCCGGGAAGGGGTCCCCAGCACCACCCCCCATCTGGCCAAGATCCCTCTCAGCCCCACGGACCCCTTGGCAGGTTCAGGGTGTGCAGGTCACAGTGGCCACCCACATGTCTCAGGGCACATCAGGCTAGCAGGAGGCGTGTGGAGGCTGCTGGGCAAGTCTGTCCTGCCGCAGCCAGCATGGGGGGTGGAGGTCCCCACAGGGTGGGACGAGTGGAGCTGCCCACCTGGGGCACAGCGTGAACTTGTGGGGCACTCCCGGGCTCGGGGTGTGGGGGACTCAATCTCACCTCTCTGGGTTCACCACACCCCAAACCTGTCACCAAATCCTGTTGCCAAAATCTGTTACAGCCTCAACCAGAGGCAGCAGGCCCAGACACTAGACCCGGCTGGGCAAGTTCCCCAAAATCTCCTGGACTTCTGGCCCAGGCCTGCCTAGTGTGGGTGGTCTAGGGGGACATCTAGCAGGAGCAGTGCTTGCCTGGGGCACCCCAAGTCCCCCACAGGGCCTCTGGTGTGAGGTTCTGGGTGCTTCTCAAACAGCAGCAGAGGTGGTTTCCCAGCAACACCCAGCACGGAAAGCGCTCGTCACACACTGGGGTGTCGAAACCCATGTGTCCTCACCGCTTCTGGCCGTGGCTCCGGACCTTGCGGTAGATGATGAAGGCTACCACGATGACCAACACGGCCACCAGGAACAGCACAGCCACCAGCACGCCGACCGGGAAGCTCCCAGACGCTGTAGAGACACATGGCTACAGTCAGCCAGGGGTGCACACCAATCCACGGCAGGGGGACAGGGGGGTCGGGGGGTCCATGGGAGACAGCCTTTCTCAGCCCCCCCTCGGTCAAGCCCTGGGCCCCTGGGGGCTCCTGTAGCTGCACTGGCCCCATGACCCACACACGGCCAAGGGCCAGTGGAACCCTTAGCAGAGGACTCAGTACATTACACCAGTGCTCCCAGCTCTCTGGTGACAGACTGGAGGGCTTGGCAGTGTGGGGCCCCAGGTCCACAGTGCCACAGGAACGGCCAGGCCAGGCCCTTGAGGTGCTGTGGACGCACATCCGCTCAGTGGTCACAGGGGAGGAAGATGCTGAGGGGTGGGTTGCCCTGAACTCCCGGGAGAGGAACGGCTGGAGGACTTTGGGCTGAGGATGCCCAGAGCCTCAGAGCTGGGCACAGCGCACGGTCACCACTCTCACATCTCCTCCTTCTAGGACGGGGCTTCCCTTCTTGTGCTGTCCAGAGGTGGGGACGTGGGCCCTACCCTAGACCTGTGGGCCAGACCCGTGAGGGATACAAACCTGTTCCTTGAGCACCATCTGAACTTGGACCCCAGCCCTGTCACAGGGGCCCCTGCGTGCCCAGGCCATGAAGGCTGTGGGTCCTGGGGATAGTCGGGGCCTACCTGCGCACACATTGTCCAGCAGCTCTGCACAGTCGGGCGGGGCCCAGCCAGCCTGGCAGTGACACTCCCTCTTGTGGTTGCACACCTGGGGGATGGCCAGGCCTCAGGGACAGGCTATGGGAACCATGCCTGCAGCATGAGGGGCCCTGGGCTGCTCCCACCCACACATGCTGACCACAAGGTGTGGTCAGGAAACCTTGTCCCAGGGATCACACTGTGCGCCGCAGCTGCACAGGCACCATTTGCTGAGGTCACCTGGGCCCGGCTTCAGCCCCGGGATGGGCTCTGCCAAGACCCCCACTGGCACAACATGCTGGGCTCATCCAAGCCTCCAGCTCCTATGTCCAGAGCTGTCATTGCCAAGGGCTCTATCAGAGGAGTGGGCGGCAGCCTTGACTCAGGGGCGACGGGGGGGACTGTCCCACAAGGCCAAACGTACCCCGTGGCTGTGGCACTTGGCAGAGCAGTTTCTGGACCTGTACACTTGGAAGTCCTGGCAGCGTCCTTCCCAGCAGACCTGTGGTTGGGGTGGGTGGTCTCTTAGGCAGTTGGTCTGAACACCCCCCCCCACTCTCCCCTGAAACCCATGGGGTAAGCTTGAGGGGGCAGCCATCTGCCAGCCTCGGCCATGCGGCCTGGTGCTGGGCTGGCCGACTCACCCTGGAGGCCCCTGGAGGACCAGCCCCTCTGGGGGTCTGCACCTCCCATCGCCCTCCTCGCTTTCTACTAAGAACATGAACAGGCTCTGTCCACACAGCCCACTCCGGCTGCCACCGAGGGTGGAAACGCGTCTGGAGGCCACGTGTGCCCAGCTGGTGTCCCTTACCTTTTCCTTGCCGCACTTGGTGCCTTCGGGCACCAGCTCGTAGGTGGCGTCAGCGCCCATGCCGAGAGCCTGGCACACAGCTGAGTGGGAGGTGAGGATGCAGGAGCTGCGCTCCGGGGGCTTCTGCCCCCCCTCACAGTACAGGACGCCACATCTGTTGACCCTGCGGACAGAGGGCACTTGTGGGCCAGCTCCAGTGGGAAGTGCTTAGGGGAGCCTGGCACTGCAGGAGGTGAGAGGCATGGTGTCCAACCCTCCTAACATGAAGACAGCTCGAGCTTGGGGGCCCTGGAAGGCAGGGAGGACCCCTGGAGCCTCCTGACTCCTTTGTTGGAACCATCACTTCCTGGGCCCAGGGAGTCTTGTCTCAGTCACTCACCTGCCTGTGCCAAGAGAACTCTGGCCCCTGCAGCCTGGCAACATGTTGTATGAGAAGCAGGTCTCTGCGGCAGGCCGGGCACCTATGGAGCCAAGAGCAGATCAGCCCATGGTGCACCCGCAGCACCCGACCATGGGGCGCACCCCAAAAAGTCACACCCGCCTCACCTGGTCCCCACAGCTCCTGGCACCGCTGGGCCAGCGTGGGGCAGCCCCCATTGAAGCAATAGCCCCCGGGGCAGGGCATGCCGTTCTCCTGAAAGGCGTCTTCCGGGCATGCAGGCTGCTGGCCATCGCAGAACTCCTCCAGGTCACAGGAGTCCTTCCGGGCACGGCACAGCTTGCCAGCTGGCTTCACCTGCCCAGCAGAGAGAGGTTGGCCTGGAACGTAGCCCAAAACAGGCCCGGGAGCTGATGTGTAGCTACATCCCAGCTGGGCTGGGGTCCCCGGGGGCGGTGCCTGCTCACCCTGCACTCGTGGCAGCAGTCGCCATGGGCACACTCGGCCCCCATGGCCAGCTGGCAGGTGGTGGCGTTGCAGCAGCGGTTGTGACAGTCCTGGGAGTGATGGCTACTGAGCAGGCTGCACATGGGCTCCTGGGCGGGCTGGCCTCCCACACCACGCGGGTGGAAGTGGGGGAGGGGGGCTGCATGGCCACCCGTTCTCCCAACTTCCTTAAGGGAACACACACCTGGGGGGGGCCACAGTCGCACTGCTCCCCACGCTCCACGAAGTGGTTCCCACACACGGGGCCGCCCACCAGCTGGTCGGGGTCCGGGGCGTTGGCCAGGCAGCCCGTCTGTGGCTTCTCCAGGAACGTCTCCAGGTCAGTCTGGCTACACTGGCTGAACATCCGGGGGAACCTGGAGCTGAAGGGAGGGGTCCCATCAGGGCTGCGTGCCAGCACTGCCCCTTCCTCCCCACAGCCCCAAGGCCTGGCTGTGCAGAGCCGGCGCCTCACCCGATGCTGGTGGCCATTATGCAGCCACCGCCCTCACGTGGCACGGGGCAGTAGCAGCCCTGGATGTTCTCATCGTGGTCCATGCCCAGGTTGTGGCCCATCTCGTGGGCCAAGGTGGATGCCACACCCACAGGGTTCTGGCTGTGGTCCTGCGGAGAAGGCTGTGCTCACCTGGGCCCTGCACACCTGTCCGCCCACCCGCCACCCTCTCCCCCCACAAAGCCAGCACACTTGGTGCTGCTTCTTGCCGACAGCACTCACAGAAACAAGCCTCAAATCTGTCCCCCACAGGGGGCGCCACTCACCTGGTTCACAGCCCCGGAGCTGCTGGAGCACATGCTGGACACTTTCGCCAGGCCCACGGTGGTCCCAGTGAAGTCGACCCCCCTGGAGACAAGAGCACCATGCACACCCTGCATGTGGTCCCACACACCCCTCTGAGCCCCTGCAGGGCTCTGCCGCCACTCACGTGATGAGCTGCACATTGTCATGCCGGGGCTGCCCCGTCAGAGCCTGTGCCCTCCAGGCAAGGAAATTGTCCAGCGTGACATCAGCCTGCGGGCTGACCTGGAACTTGTCCCAGTTGTTCCAGATCTCCAGGCCCACCAGGACCACGCGGAAGTTGAGTTCCTGATAAAGCTAGAGAGAGCGGGAAGTCGGGGGTTGGGCAGGGTACAGTGGGTAGCAAAGGCCCCCTCCTGTTCCTCTGCAAGGTGGGGCCCAGGGACAGGTGCTGGGCAGAGTCACAAGCTCAGAGCACAGAGCCCTGAGCTGGCCTCCCACCCACCCCAGCCACACCCCTCCAGGCGCCCCCCACTTCTACAGCCAGGGCCCTTAATGGGCAGGGGGCTGCTGTGAGGTCCTGGAAGCCCCCGCAGGGAGGAAGCTGGCAGCCCCAAGAGGGACCCCCAGAGGTAAAACGTGCCCATACCTTGTCCACGTGGTTCACCACCTCCAACACCCGACTGCGCACGGCCGCTCTGCTCCCCAGCATCTGGAACTGGGGATGCGAGACCCTCAGGCTGGATCCCCACAAACCCCTGCCCCGCCCTGCTCTGCCCCGCCCCACCCCTGTGCTTGTCGCACCTCTGCACTGTCTGTGACCACGTACAGCTCCACGTAGCGGGTGTCTCGGGATAGTGGCTGGTTCTGGGGAACAGAGACTAGAAGTCAGTCAGCCTCCTCAGCCACTCCAGCCCTTGGGGATCTGGGGCCTGTGCCCAGCCTCTGTCGAACGCTGGGAGGCGCCATCCCCAAAGCTGCCAGGCTTGGCCAGGCCCACCCGGGGATATGGACAGCAGGGGATGCCCAGGCCCACCCGGGCAGCACACAGGTGCAGAGGGAGTGTGGGGGATATGCAGGCCCAGGGAGGGGACAGTGCCAGCAGCGGCCTGCCACAGGGATGAAGTTGCTCACCCGGGGCTGAGGCCTGAAAGCCGCTGCGATCCGAGGCCCCAGGGCATGATCCAGGCTGGTGTTGCTGACCCCGCAGGTTACCCGCTTCTGCCGCAGATGCTGGGCCTGGTACACTGCATGCTGCCCCTCCTCGCCACCCCCATCCAGGGGCTCGATCAGGTGGATGGCCGAGTCCACCCGGAAGAAGCCTCTGAGGGGAGGGGAGCCGGGTGTGTGGTGGCTTCTGGTTAGCCCATCCCCCCACCTGCCCATCCGGGAGGGAAGAAGCCCTGAAGAAGAGGCTCCCACCCGTTGGCCAGCAGCCCTCAGGCAGGTGACACCCAGGCCCGAGGGTGCGGACGAGCGCTGGGGGGCCCTGCCTGCGGGCTGGTCAGGACTCACGGCTTGTAACAGAGCCCTGAGCAAATGCCTGTCTGCAAGAGCAAATGCCATGCACAAGAGTGAGAGAGGCCTTCTCCAAGTGCGGCCTCGGCCCTTCTCCACCTCACTTTGCTCTTCTGCAGAGTGGGGGTGCACTGGAGCCCTGGCACTCCACGTCCTGCAGGTCTGCACACCCACCTGAGGCCGGCGCAGGTGCTGAGGCTGGCAGCAGAGCCCTGGTGCCCCTCCACGTGGCCCTGATAGAAGCAGTGGTCCTGCAGGAGAAGCATGTCAGGGTCCACAGCTCCCTCCCCAGGATGCCCACCAGCCTTGGGAGGGCTCCCTGGGGCCCGTACCTGCCCATGCAGCTGCTCGGTCACCTCTGAGCCGTTGGCGGTTGTGTAGGTCTCCACATAGCCCAAGCCCAGCAGGTCCCTGGAAGAGAACCTCAGTAGCACCCAAGGCCCCCTCACACACACCCCCTCCCATCCTGGGGCATGGCCACTGCCGGCGTGGAGGGGCTGGGCCAGGATGCAATGCTCAGGACACGGGTGTGCTGAAGCCTGCCGGACTCGGCCAGGACAACCAACCTGAGAGGGACAGCAGCCCCGCTCACCTGTTCTTCCGCAGGTGCAGGGTGAAGGTGTGTCCTCCAGCTCCAAGGACGTAGCTCACACGCTCCGGGTATAGCCCCTGAGTGAAGAGGGGAGGGTCCAGGTGAGCGCCTGCCCCAGGGAATGCCCACCTCACACCTGGGGAGAAGAGCTCAACTGGGTGTGGGAGTGCGGCCTCCAACCACAGGCGGGGCTGCTCCTCAGGCAAGTAGAGGTGGCTCAGGCTGGGCTGGACTGGGGGACATGGGTGGAGCCCAGCCCTGGGGCAGGCCTGAAGGACGCTGGGCTCCTCAGTCCTCCAGGTCTCAGTTTCCCCATCTGCCCACTAAAGGATAATGATGATGATGATCCTTCCCCAAAGAAGTGAGGGGGAGGGACATAGCACCGGCCAGGCAGCCTTAGAGCCAGGGAAGCAAAGGAGTTGGGGAGGGGGCACACAGGCCCCTGTATGCCAGTTCTCCATCCCCCTCAAGGACATGCGTCCATCTGCTGAGGCTGCGGCTTCAAGGAGGTCACCGATCACCAGGGCAGGGCTCAAGGGAGAGCAGGGACCTGGTGGTACCCACAGAGCTGCCCCGGCCCCTCCAACCCCCCACGACACTCAGGCTTGAGCTCAAGCTTGTTGGCCCCTGTAGACAGTGTGCACCGTGCCCTCTGGGTGGGGTGAGAACCAGGGCTGCTGGTGGGTCTGTGGCCCTGCCACTGAGGTAAGGACAGGGCCACAGCTGCCATCCTCCCTGGAAATACACACACACATATCCCATGCATACGCCACACACACTGCACATGCATGCACACCCAGGCCCCAGGCAGCCGTGAGAGTGGGGGTGGGGTCTGTCAGTTCCCAGCGCAGGGAAACCCCGGGCCCTCAGGAAGGTGTGTCAACACCCTGTGGTGAGCCAGCCCCGCTGTGCAAAGAGGAAAAAGAGGAATGTGGTTACCAGCCCTGCCAAGTGAAACTGGGGAGTGGCCCGGGGTCAGTACCACTCCCCTCCCTCTTCCCTGAGCCCAGAGGCACCTCCAGGCTGGCTAGCAGGGAGCCCCTGGTGCCCACCCGGAGGCACAGTGCACGGCCCTGCCCACGAGTGAGGCAGGAGGAAGGAGATTCAGTGAAGCACCGCAGGATAGGACCTGTGCCCGCAGGCCACGCCAGGCTGCGAGCCCCCAAGACACCCATCCGGCCCCTCACAACCTCCTGGGAGGGGCATTGGGAGCAGGGTTCGCTTTCACAAGAAGAGGCTCTGGGAGCCACCAAGGGACCCCAGGCCAGCTTGTGAGTGGACAATAGAGACTTACCACACGGGAGAGCAGGGTTCTGCGGGCACGGGGTTCGGGCAGGCGCTGGGGCCGCACCACCTCGTATTGCTCCACATGTGGCAAGGGGTGGCCCAGAGTAATGACTGCAGGAGAGAGGGGTCACAGCAGGCTCACAGGGACCCTCTGCCCTGGGAGGTTTCCTGGCCTGCGTTGGCCTCCCCTCCCCTAGGTGAATCGCAGGATACCTCAGGGACCATCGACTGGAAGATCTCACCCCTGCAGCAGGTGGGCCAGGCCCCAGAGACCCTGCCCTGCTCCAGCCCTTCCAGGAGGCCACCAGGCTGCTGGCTGTCCCCGCCCCTGCTGCATCTAACTGGGGAGCAAAAGAGGCCTCCTCTGCGGGCTGTTCACCGAGGACTGGAAAATCCCTGGTAGCCAACAACAGACGCAAAGCCCCGCGGAGTTTCAGGACCACCTACCCAGATGACGGTCTCCTTCCTCTTTTGAAAGGCCATTGAACCCGTTCTCCTTACCGTCATCTCAGAAACCTCCAGCAGTAAAACCACTGGCCGCCAGCTGGGGACGGGGACAGCACACCGCCCAGGCCAGGAGGGCAGGAGAGAGGGGTCACAGCAGGCTCACAGGGACCCTCTGCCCTGGGAGGTTTCCTGGCCTGCGTTGGCCTCCCCTCCCCTAGGTGAATCGCAGGATACCTCAGGGACCATCGACTGGAAGATCTCACCCCTGCAGCAGGTGGGCCAGGCCCCAGAGACCCTGCCCTGCTCCAGCCCTTCCAGGAGGCCACCAGGCTGCTGGCTGTCCCCGCCCCTGCTGCATCTAACTGGGGAGCAAAAGAGGCCTCCTCTGCGGGCTGTTCACCGAGGACTGGAAAATCCCTGGTAGCCAACAACAGACGCAAAGCCCCGCGGAGTTTCAGGACCACCTACCCAGATGACGGTCTCCTTCCTCTTTTGAAAGGCCATTGAACCCGTTCTCCTTACCGTCATCTCAGAAACCTCCAGCAGTAAAACCACTGGCCGCCAGCTGGGGACGGGGACAGCACACCGCCCGGGCCAGGAGGCTCCCAGGAGCTGGGGTGGGGCCAGGGCCAGCAGCCCACCTTCCCTCCCCCAGCCAGGACACAATCTCCATGTGGCCAGACCGCCTGTGCTGCCCCTGCCTCAGCTCTCCTGTCGGCCTCCCCGCCCTGTCCGGCTGGACGGCCCCAGTGGATGGACAACGCCCCTGTGGCCCCACAGGCCGTCGGAGTGCCCAGCGGTCCTCGACAGCCCCAGGGAGACGCGGCGGGCGGGCCCGGGCCAGGCTCCCGACTCACCCTGCAGCCACAGTGCGCCGAGCGCCCCGAGCTGGAGGCCGCGCATGGTCCGCTCCGGGGACGGCTCCGCTCGGGCACCTGCGGGGATGGGTGCGCCCCGCCCCGCCCCCGCGTCCCTGCGTCCTGCGCCCCCGGGGCTTCCTCCGTATTCCTGAGCCCGCTTCCTGGTCCTTCATAAATGTGGACAAAATTTACGTGACGGGAGACGTGCGGGGCGGCGGGGAGCGGGAACAGCCCACCCTGGCCACTCTGCATCCTCCCGTGTACGGGAGAGGAAACCGAGGTACAGCCTCAGGAGCGCAGGTCCCCCCGGAAGGTGACAACCAGGCGGGTCTTGGAGGGGTGTGCCTTTAAAAGCTTGTCTGGTGGGTTTGGGAAGGGGGTGGCCCCGACTTCCTGGGGTGCAGAAAACTCCAAGCAGGGACAAGAAGTGGCTTTGTGGGCACAGGCCCAGTCCTGTAGGAGGGACACTCCACCCAAACCCTGTGCCCTGCTCCACCAGGCTCTTGAGGCCTCCCTTCGGAAGGGTGAGGCCTGGGCCAGCAGGTGGTCAAGTAGGGGGGAGCTGGACAGGTGAGGTCCCGGCCCCAGTGACGGCAGGTGTGGAGGCCGCCTGGGCTGCTCCTTTGGGCCATCCCCAGCCCTGCTTTGGGGGTCCTGATGGGTCATCCTACCAAAGCAGCAGCTAGATGCAGCTGCCGGCCGACATCTCCCCGTGTGCCCTGCAGGCTGGGGCCACCCCAAACCAGAGCCTGCAGCGATCCCTGTGGCCTGGCTCTAGGCTTCTCCAGGTGGACCCCTGCCCCCCGGTGAACCCAGGACTCCTGGGGCTTCAGCCCAGCATATGAGACTTCATAGCCACATTCACAGCTGTCCCAGAAAGACCCACCATGGGGGACAACCTAAGCGGGAAGGGAAGCAGCCCAGACCCCTCACCAGGGCTTCAACAGCTAGGATCCCTTCCTGATGTGAGTGGTGGGACACAGGGGCCACACAGGGCTCCAGGGTACTGGCCAGTGCCCCCTGGTGGGGCGAGGGCTGAGCTGGTGGTGGGGAAGGGAGCTCTGCCTGGAGGGGTGGGCCTTAGACCAGGACCTGCAAGGGGCTCCAGGGCAGAGGTCAAAGTCCTAAGGGCACTGGAAGAAGAGATTTCATCTGGACTTTATCCTGGGGACAAGGAAGCACTGGGGATCTCAGCTAGGGGAGAGGAACACTGTCACATTTTTGTCTCAAGGATAACTGACCATTATTATGCCAATGCAAGTGGCACAAAAAGTAAGAAAATGCAGCAGGGGCTAGTACAGACATTTGGGGTATCTCAGTCGGAGGCCAGCTCTGCTGCCAGGGAGGCGTCAGCCCACCCAGCCGTGGACAAGCCCCCCAGGCTGCAGAGAGCAGCAGGGGTTGCTGGGTAGTGGGGCGCTGGGGCCACGCTGGCTTCTGTCCCTGAGCTCTAATACGTGCCACGCAAACCCAAAAAACTCCTCTTCCTTGGTCCTGTGTTGCAAGTTATTTGGCAGCAGTTCAAAGGCAACACATCCCTGTCACATTAGAGGCAGAGCAAAAGCTACCGCAGATGTGCGTCATCCCACAGGAAGTTAACCAGACCACCTGCAGCTCTGCGGACGAAGACAAAGCTGTACTACCAGGGACTTACGCGTGAAAGTCAGGCCAACTTGGGCCAGCACTGACCCCGCTCCAACAGAGCCCTTCCTACAAGGACCAAGGAAGCCCGCCCCATCCCACAGAACATACCTACCTCACCTCCACTACCTTGACTCAGCAGGTGCTACTGGGGGGTCTGGGAGCCAGGACTCCGCAGCCCTGGAGGTGCCCCCCCACCTGCAAATCCTCGAGGTGCAGAGGCAGGCCACGTCTTGAAGGCCCTGGGTTTCCCAGAACTCAGGAGGCCCCTTGCTGAGGACCAGCGAGTTCTAAGCTCACGGCTGACACTTGAACAAGACCACAACTTAGGACCACACACTGCAGACTAGGAGAGGAAGCACTTTGTGGCTGGAGAGTGAAGCCCCCCCAGGTCAGCAGATGCCCCTCTGCAAGGCAGCCCAGTGGCCAACAGCCACCCACACCTGTGTCCCCTTGGGGAGGCCTCATCTGTGTGGGGACCCAGGCCATGCTTGCTTCTGCCTCTTTTTGCCCCCAGCCTCCTCCCAGGGCCCCTCCTCACTGTCCGTGGCCATTTGGAGCAGGTGTTTAGGACTGAATTTTGAAAATGACACGCATGAAATTCAGCAGGAAGGGGCAGCTGGGCCTGAAGACCACACTAGCCAAAGCAGCCCTGAGGTGTCCATGGCAGTGTCACCCCTAGGCTGGTTGTGCTGTCCACTACTGAACTGGGAAGACAGGACAGAGAAGGCAGATGGCCCCCTGAGGGGATGGGTGGGACATAATACGACCTGACAGTCTATCTGCTGGGCAATTTCTGTATGACCAGGAGGCACCTGGCGGGCAGCATGAGCCCAGCAAACCCTGCCACAGTCACAGTAAAGCCCATCCCTGAGGCCTCTCTTCAGCACCTGTGTGAGATGTGAGCCAAGTGGCCCAGTGCCGCCAGGGCGGGGGTCCTACGGTCGAGCAGATGCTGGCAAGCTGGTGAATCAGGAGGGCTGTACTGCCCCCTGGCGTTCAGAGCAGACCACAGCCCTGGTTCGCCTGCACCGGACTTGGACACCAGGAGGCATCTCTGTAATTATCTTGTTTCTTGCTCAAATAACCACGTGTTTTCACTTTGTCTTTATTTGAGATCAAAAACACCAAAAAAAAGTTACAGTTCAACCTTTAAAAGCAAACATAAGCAAATCTACAGAGACATAGCTCTTGTCTGGGCAGCTTCTATACGATGAAACCCAATGAGCCAAGCCAAGATGGTAATTCAGGTTTTGTATTACACTGAAACAGTCACAACATATACAACACATGTATTCCAGGAATATTTGACATAAAAATCCTGATTCATTCACACTGTAGCACCTGCTTGTCCCCGCGCTTCCTCAAGCCCAGCTGAGGGCTCACTGCGCGGTAACGGCCACCCTGGCTGCTGGTGCCGGGGGACCCCGCAGGCTGGGCAATGGGGGGCCCACCTTCTGGCTCCTCTCTGCAGACAGGCGCTCCAGGCGCTCCGTGTAGAAGCCGTTGAAGTCGAGCCTGTGGGGAGGAGCATGGAACTGGGTTCCTCTTGCTGACAGTGGCAGACTCCGTGGCCATAACACTGAGGACAGATGCCCCAGGGGAGATGCACCCCCGTTTCTAGCTCAGTGATAAGAGTTTGGATGTGTTGTCCTCCCAAAACTCATGCAGAAATCTGATCCCCAATGTGACAGTGTTGGAAGCTGTTTGAGTCATGGGGGCAGATCTCTCATGAATGGATTAATGCTCTCCCTGGAGGAGGAGGGGCAGTGAGTGAGTTCTCACTCTATTAGTTTCTGCGAGAGCTGGTTGTTTAGAAGACCCTGGCACCTCCTCTCTCTCTTGCTTCCTCTCGCCATGTGATCTGCTTGTACCCACTGGCTGCCTGCCACTTTCCACCATGAGTAGAAGCAGACTGAGGTCCACACCAGATGCAGCTGTCCCAGAATCATGAGCCAAATAAACCTCTCTTCTTTATAAATTACCCAGTCCCAGGTAATTCTGTTACAGCAACACAAAACGGACTAATACACTCAGCAACACAGACAATACCAAGGTTCCCTCCAAGCTGTGGTGAGGGGCACATGTGGGTCAGGGGCTCGACCTGCCAGCCACACACACAGGTTCTCCAGCTCCACACAACCTTCACTGCTATTAAGCAATGTCAAGACTGGACCTTAAAAACACACACGACAGCTAAAAGCAAGACAACCAGAGCTTCTAACTGATGCTTCAGCGTGATCATCTCCAGTAAGCACCACGGGCAGGGTGCACATGTGGGCTTCTTCTCTCGCAGCCCCTGGGTGCTGGGGCTCCTTCATCACCCCAGCATCACCTGGCTATGGGGCCCTGAGAGGGCCATGGATGTGGGGCACCTGGCAGTGATTCTCAATGCTGGGTGAACTCAGAACCCCCTGCTCAGGAACCAGTGGTCCCAGCACACAGATGGGCACGTTCCAGGACAGCCCGAGGACAGTGTCCCTTCCTGGATGAAAGCTGGGCCTACCCGGAACAATGGTGACCCAATCAGGGTCACCTGGTAGCCCAGGTTTATGGAACATCATGCCCCAGGAGGGCTGGGGTGGCCTGACACGTACTAGTTGACACACAAGTGGACACGTATGCACACACGCACTAGGAGCTCCCACCCACACGTGTGACCAGCAGCTGCACCAGGAGAGAGAACGCCGACCCCTCCTCACACACCTTCTCCTCTTCCCCCAAGCCTAGACCTGAGGGTGCAGGGGGCAGGAGTGAGATTGCACAGGGCACCCACCTGGAGATGACACTGGCCATGCCGTGTTCACAGTCACTGGTGCTGTAGACACTCAGCTGCGCTAGCAGGTCCAGCAGATGGCTGGAGAAGTTCTTGTCAAACCTGCTGATGGTCGCCTCGAAGCTGGACACCAGCTGAGGTGCATCCGCGTTCTCTGCCAGGTACTGAAACACAGTTCGGAAGCACATGAGCCAGTACCAAAGCCCCGCCATGGGCCCACCCCGCCATGGGCCTCTTCCCAGCAGGCTTCCTTTTTTTCTTTTCTAAATAGAAGGAATGGATTCTAGGACATTTTCACATAATAAAAAGTAAAGGGCATCATGAAAAATTCCTAAGACTTCAGACAACTGGTGCCTGCTGCTACCGCTGTAGTAAGGTACATCCCAGGCTTCGCAGGGCATAGAAGTCAAGGTTCAGGTTTTTAAGACTAATGTCATTTTCTCCGGGCCACGTCTTGGCCAGGGGGATGCACCTGTCTTTGACTGTCCCTGGATTCTGACCCCCTCACTCCCAGGCCATCTCTTCTTTGCTGGATCCACGTGAGGACATGAAGAGTACCACCCCCGGCTCACAGCAGAGCTGAAGCAGGTGCCACGATGCCCATACCTCAAAGGACTCGTGGCTGCCAGCACCTGCTGAGCAACCTGACCCAGCTAATGAAGAATGGGTCTAATCAGTGACAGTGGGGCTGTGGTGGGCCTGTGGAGCATCAAGTCCTCTCTCACCCATGCCAGGTCCAGGGGATCCCAGGCTGACCCGCACCAGGTCCAGGGGTCCCAGGCTGATCCGCACCAGGTCCAGGGGTTCCAGGCTTACCCTACCCAACACTCATTCAGCAGGTAACTGTGGCCACCCCCTGGAGCCCAGCAGGCTTGGGACCAGACAGTTCATGAGGAAAATTCTTGTGTCTGTCTTTAGAACCTGATTTTAAGTCTTTTTTTCAGTCAAAGAAGAGATAGAAATAAGAGAACAGCAGGTCTGTTTTTCTGGAGCTTGCAGTGCTGCCTGTGCATCACACCCTCTGGCTCGCCCACAACGCCACGCACCTTCCTACTGAGCTCCTTCCGGGAACGCTCCTCGGCCCGTTCGGCCTCTGTGGGCGGCCCCAGCATCGTGCCGTGCTCCAGTGTCGGCTGGGCCAGTTCACTGTCTAACTTCATGCTCTGCGCGAATTTCTAGGGGTGGGGTTGCAAAGACATGTTTCTGTGAGTTATAACACACGCTTTGCAGGAAACCAAGTCCACTGCACATGTGGAGCAGCTCTCATGTTCGGGACACGCAAGCCCCTCCTGGGAAGCTGTGGCTGGAAGGACCTGGCTGCACCAACACAATTCCCAGTCACCCTCTCACAGCGGTCCTCAAAGACACAGCTTTCTCCTCGGTGCTTCCCCAACCCAACACGGCTCCTAAGTGGCTGAGCAACGGGGTTCAGTGTCTGTCCCCTCATAATGCCACCTGGCCACCTCTCCCACGTCCCATGTGCCCCCCTGTGGACCCCTCCCTGTGGTGCTCCCCAGACTCCCCTCCTGCCACCTGACACTCGTTTTCTGTACCATCATTTTGGGCAACTGCTTGTGATAAGTGCCCCAAACACATGTAACTGAATCGAATAATTCGAGTTCTGAGAAAATGCAAGGGCATCCAGAAACAGGCCCAGGACAGAAACCTGCACCATAGATTTAAACCCTGTAGCCCAGTGACAGTATGGGAAGAATATGGCAAATCCAGGTGGCCCCTACCCACACTGCCAGGGCAGGAGCTCCAGGAAGCCCCAAGAGTTCTAGAAATACTCAAATGACATCAGGCTCCTCCACAGAAAGAAAGGGCAGGAGGTGTGGGACAGGGCTGCATGCAGCAATGGCCTGAACACCTGCACCTGCCCGCACCTGCCTCCTCTGCCCACACCCGTCTGTACGCCTGCCCACACATGATGTTCCTGCCCGCACCAGCCAGTATGTGCCACCCCTGCCCGCACCAGCCCATGCAAGCCCACACCTGCCGCCACTGCCCAGCCCGCCTGCACCTGCCTCCCCGCCCGCACCTGCATGCAGTTGGTGAACATGACACACACGGACATGAGCTTGGAGAAGACCTTCAGCAGCTCGGGGTTGGTCAGCATGCAGTCCTTCAGGCAGTTGTCCAGGAAGCTCGTGTGGTGGCCAAGGACATCATCAATGTTGGAGGCCTGTGAAGATAGGGCTCTGAGACTCGGCATTGTTGCAGCAGCAGCAGCAGCACACGCCACTGAAAGGCACACTGTGTGTGCCGCATTCACCTTCGGCTTGTTTCGTATACTTGTTTACATGGTCCCACATTTTAAATGGGCCCGTAGTCTTTGGGAGAAAACGTCAAAATACCACTAAAAGAAAAGAATACTGAACATGCCCCCAAAGGTCCAAGCTTTTAGATCTTAAAGACAGAGAGCAGGAAGGAAATACTGCTCCTTGCTACTTCCTGCTCCTGGAATTTGGTGGTAACAGATTCTGTAGGACGGCCCGGTCCACAGGCTGAAGATGTGCTGTGTGAGAGTACCCAGGCCTCGAAGCTCTCAGAGCCCCAGGAGGGGAGAGTGCCCAGAGGGTGTCCACGAGTCTAGACAGCCGATTCTGGTGCAGCAGGCACGCAGGAGACCTCTCCCTCTTTCTCCCCCTCCCGTTTATCATGCGGGAAGGGGCCGGCTGTGCACAGGGAACCAGGCTCTGCGTTGAAGCCGCGGGACGTGCGCACTGCAGCTCCTCCCCGACGCCTTGCCAGCTCCTGCTCTCCACAGGCTGCCTTGGAAGCGTTATGATCTGTTGAGCTGACACTCACGGACTTCAGGTTCTTCTCCAGGATGTGCCAGGTTGGCTCCATCACTTCAAACATCATGTAGTACTGAATGTTCTGGACAAAGTTCAGCATCCGCTGTCGCAGGGTGAAGGCCCCGGCAAACCTGAGGGGCACAAGGACCATCACAGAGGGGTGGCGACGCCAGCACCACAAGGCGCCCAGCAGACACTGGCCACTCCCCCTATGGTGCTAGAACCTCTTCCGACCACGCCGACTCTCACAGCCACTGCTCCTGCAACGCGGCAGCAGCTCAGACTCAGGCACACAGGACACAAATGAAGGGGCGCTCCTCAGTGCTGGGGCGGGGGCGACTCCGCACAGGGCTGGGGACACCCACACTGGCAGGTCAGGCAGTCAGGCAAACATCCTGCCCAACACGATCCCATCACCTTCTGTCTCCCTCTACCCTGCGGGGACAGTACCCACCAGCCCAACCACAGAAATGGGAAACAGGCTCCTCAGTTAGCTGAGCCACTCAGCGCTAGCAAGGACCACCACTGGGGAAGAAACCACAACTGCGAATTCCACACCTCTGCTTTATCGAGATAAATTCCTAAGAAGTTTTACCACCAACCCTTTCTTCAAACGCCACATGGTGCCACAGGCAGTGTGCAACGCGCCTCTGGGCTGCATGTGGCATGACTGAATGGAGGAAACAAACGCTCTCAGCCCACAGGAGGGGAGTGTGTCCTGCAAACACACCAGTAGTCACAATACCCATACCATCACTACAGGCTGTGGAGAGGATTGAGGGCACAGCGAACATCCCTGGTAGGTGACAAAAGCATCACACTGCCCAAAGACCTAAAAACTGAAAAATCGTGGGCCTACAAGCTACAGATATGCATTTTCAAGCTGCTTGTTTAAAGGTCTAGGGAGAGACGCCGTCCCACTAGAGGGAGCATGGGAGGTGTGGAAACGCACCACTTTGCAGAGTGCCGCGAGCGCTGCTTGGCAGTCTTGCTGCTGGTCCAGACGCTGCACAGCTGCCGCTCCACATGCTTGCAGTAAAACATGTGCCGGAAGAGCATCTGGTAGCGGGTCAGGGCCTTCCTGCAAGACAGGTGTGTAGAGTCTGGCAGACACACATGCTCTCAACACACCGTCCACACAGTGGCCACCAGACAGCCATGGAATCCCCTCCAGGCACAAAAGAACGGGAGAGCCGCTTCAGGTCTTCTGCACGACAAGACAGCCACCGAGCGGGCATAGCCTCGTTTCCTGCAAACCTGAGTAAGTGTCTAGAAGCTGCCCAAGGGGCCTCACCTGTTGATGATCAGTGACAGGGGCCACTTGACGATGTAGTCGAAAGAGAAGGCCTCCAGGCCGCTCAGCGAGAGCTCAGTGGGGTCGGCCTGGGTCATCGCCTTCTCCTGCTTGGTCTCGATGGCCAGAACTCGCAAAAGCTGGGTGATGAGGTCGTGAGGCATCAGGTCAATCTTGGGGGAAAAGAAATAAAACACAGAATCCAGCTTTTAGGGAAAATGCCAAAGCCAAGTCCTGACCCCCACCCACCCTGGCATCATGAATCCGAAAAGCAAACACAGCACTGAAGGAAGTGTCTCAGATAGTGATTCTAAATATTGGAGGCTGGCTTTATAAAACACAAACAACTATTAATAAATCCTAGTTTAAAAACTAAACCACTTCACATTAAGGTAGAAAGAGTAAAATACAGATGGATTACTTTTCAAACATCTCCATGCTGGATGTTCTAAACAAGAAACCACATGGGAAAGTCAGATAAACCTGAATCCCTTAAGACTGAAGCCTTTTGACCACAGTAAGCATCAGGCCCAGGCTGAAAAACAAAGCATATTTCGTGGATGATATAGTAGCTATAACAGGCAAATAGCACTGTCCACAGCATTAATCTAGTCCAAGGCTTATTAGGTGCCGACTACATGCCAGGGACAGTGGCAGAGCTCCTGTACATCAGTAAAAGAGCGGCAGCACAAAATAAAGGGCAAGAATGAACATTAAGAGCAAGGATAGGGCGGAAGCAGCACAAATGGCTCATCAGGAGACGGAAGCGCTCACCCCTTCCAGCACACACGCGAAAATCTAACACTCTCTTCCAGCCATCAGAGGAGTGAAGGTGGTGGGGAAAGTGGAGGCGCACTGACGACAGCCTCCTTCCCTCAGCCGTGCGGTCCTGAGACTGAACTCTAGTAAGATCTGTCCAACCGTACAAGGGCCATACACTTTGATCCAACAGTTTCACTACTAGGAATTTGTCCTATAAAAATACTCCTGTGTGTAACAATAGACCCCAAAATATATGAAGCAAGAATGGGCAGAATTAAAAGGAGAAATACAGACCTACAACAACAGTGGGAGTCTTCAGTACCCACTTTCAGTCATGTCTAGAATAACCAGACAGAGGTCGGTCAGGAGAGAGATGACTCGAACAACACAACAGACCAGCCACGAGTCTGCAGAACACTCCCCAAGCAGCAGCAGAACGCTGTTCTCAAGTACACACAGAACATTCTCCAGGACGTATCTGAGGCCACAAAACGAGTCTTAATAAACTTTACAAAACTGAAATCATACCAAGTATATTCTCCAACCTCAAAGGGATGAAGTCAGAAATAAGTAACAACAACAACAACAACAAAAAGGAAAATTTACAATATGTGAAAATTAAACATTCTCAAACAACCAATGGCTCAAAGAAAAAATCACAAAGGAGGGCCGGCCCGGTGGCGCACTTGGTAGGGTGAGGCGCTTGGGAGTGTGGCGGTGCTCCCGCCAAGGGTTTGGATCCCATATAGAGACCGGTCCGCTCACTGGTTGAGCGCGGACACCGAGGGTTGCGATCCCGTTGCCGGTCGCGGTACGGTTGCGGTACGGGCACGACACCGAGGGTTGCGATCCCATTACCGGTCACGAAAAAAGACAAAAAGGAAAAAAAAAAAAAAAATCACAAAGGAAATTAGAAAATACCTTGAGACAAATGGAAATAAAAACAACATACTGAAACTTATGGGACATAGCAAAAGCCGTGTTCAGAGGGAAGTTTACAGCTGTAAATGCCTATATTAAAACAGAAAGATCTCAAAGCAATAATCTCACTTTACATCTTATGAAACAAAAAAAGAGCAAACTAAACCAGGAGCCAGCAGAAAGAAGAAAATAATAAAGATTACAACAGATAAAAACAGAGCATGCAAAAACGAGAGAAACCAACAAAACCAGAAGATGGTTCTTTGAAAGATCAATGAAACTGATAGACTTTTAGCCACACTGGCTAAGGAGACTCAAATTATTAAAATCAGAAATGAAAGCTGGGATATTACTACCAACCATTCGGAAGCAAAAACGTCTATAACAGAATACCATGAACTGTACGCCAACCAACTGGACAACCTAGACGAGACGGACAACAGAAACAGAAACTGCCAAGGTCGCCTCGAGAAGAAACAAAATCTGAGCAAACCGATACCTGGTCAGGAGACTGAATCAGTAATCAAAGACCTCCCAACAAAGACAAGCCCAGGACCAGATGGCATCACAGGTGAGTCCTACCAAAGATGTGAAAAAGAATTAACACCCCTCTTGAGACTTTTCAGAGCAAGTGAAGAGAAGAGACACTTCCAAACATACTCCAGGAGGCCAACACAAGCCCGATCCTAAAGACAGACAGGGACACTGTGAGGAAACGGGAGACCCATACCCCGTGAACGCAGGTGTAAGAATCCTCAACAAAACACCGGCAGACCAAAGTCAGCAGCACATTAGCAGAACAAAGGGCGAAACACACACATGGCCCCTCTGACTGGTGCAGAAAAGCACTGGACAGACTGTGGGCCCAAGGGCCTCTCACTACACCCACCTTGAGGTCGTCCTTGAAGGGGTCTGTGTTGGCGGTGCTCATGCGCAGCGCCAGCTCCAGCAGGGCCTCCAGGCGGGTGGGTGCGATGTCCTCCACCGACTTCCTGAGCTCCTCATCGGTGAGGTCCATGAAGTGCACGAAGAAGTCACCCTGGTCCATCAAGAAGTAGCGCTTGATGGACCTGCAAGGAGCAGGTGTGAGTGCATCACCCTCACCTGCCAGCGCCGCACCACATGACCCATTAAAACAGGCCCAGATGGATGTGGCAGGCTTGGCAGGAGAGATGGCGCCAGGAAGGAGCTGAGGAGGGGCTGGTAGGCCCAGGGCAGGGGCAGGGTGGGGACTGGGACCCCTGGTGGCACGCCCCCGTAACAAGCACAAAACAACAGCTAAAGCCATGCTGCAGTCGTGGCCCCAAGTGCTGCCCCGAGAGGTGGGCCACCTCAAGTGCGCCAACAGCTCCTTCTCCTCCATCAGGAAGTCCAGCAGCACCCTGCTGGCATAATTAAAGGCCTTCTCGATCTGCTCCACATACGCCCGCTCCTTTAGTGTGTAGATGATCTCTTTGGCCACGGGGCAGGTGACATCGCGGCCACACTCTCTGACCACATTCAGATATTTCCCTGAAAGAGATGGAGGATCAGACATTTTATCTCACACACAGTCAATCTCAGGCCTGCAGCCCCAGCTATGTTAGTCCAAACACGGGGCAGTGGACTGGACACAGAACAGGCTGCACAAGAAAAGGTCCACAAACCCACTTACTCCAGGTGGAAAACACAATTGTCACCTACAAAGGATGGAAGCGGCAGCTGCTGTGACTTGCTGTGGCTCTTTGTGTCAGAATTTTTCTGATCAATAGCACAGAAATAATTTCCAAAAGGCTAGATTGCTAACTCATCCTCAACACTTTCCATGATGGCTCAGCTCTGAAAACAGCAAGTCATGTCCCAGCATCACTCGCTTGGCATCTGAGTCAGGTCCTAACCTCTGAGAGTGGACCAGTGGGCATGTGTCCTGTAGTGCTGATGGAGTTTAAGACATTAACACAGGAAGTAAGGAGGAGAAGGAATTGAGAAAGACCCTTCGAGAGTCAGGGGACAAGACAAAGTTGACTAGAGCACCCCAGAATCACCCCACAGCCAGCAACCCTGGTGCAGGCACCCTCCAGGGCCCAACGCGGCAAGACCCTTCGAGAGTCAGGGGACAAGACAAAGTTGACTAGAGAACCCCAGAATCACCCCACAGCCAGCAACCCTGGTGCAGGCACCCTCCAGGGCCCAACGCGGCTCCCCACGTGCTCAGCCGTGCTGAGGGCCCACGTGAACTGTGTGCCTGTGTGCCGGCAGACTCACAGGACAACAGGACAGAGGCCGACCACCAGCAGGACCCGCCTCAGCAGGGACTCTGGGGTGAGAGCTTCGCCATGAGCCCCTGCACTGCAGATGCCCCCACGCATGCCGGCACCTGTGCTGAGGATCTTGTCCGCCACCTTCTGCAGGAAGGATGGGATCTGCTGCTGGACGACAGTGTACCTCTGGTCCCAGTACTTGTCATTGTAGTCCTCCTGGATCTTCTCTTTCCGCAGCTCGTGCTCCTCGACCATAAACTCACTGGAAATCACAGAAAGCTCTTCAGGTCACACGCAGAGCAAGTGCACCTTCTGTGAGCCCAGCAGCTGACACGCGTCTCCGGGATGGTGGGGGCCGGGCCAAGAGCTGAGGGGAGAACATGCTTCCAAAAACGTCCCACTAAGGCCAAGCATAACATTCTATAGTTGTTTCTCAATTGTGAGTTAAAAATTAATCTACAAACCTCGCCTTGAGCAGGGAATTTAACATAGGTTCAGAGAGAATTTAGGGGTCCACAGGGCTAGATAGAAAAATAATTCATCTTTATTTTCACATGCCTCTCAGTGGAATTTAGCATTTCCATCCATTATGACTGTAGGCAACAAAATGACACCCGTATCAGGGGCACATGGGCCTCATCACAGTATGAACCAGGCGTCTTCACAGCCCGCTGCAAACATCATTTACACGCAGCGAGTTAGAAGCTGCGTCCCTTGTGAGGCCCAACACACCAGATTTTGTTAGTTGGTCCATTAGTAAAGACATAAGTATTTCTATATCACAAATTTATCCTTTAAAAATATCTTGACAAACATATCTTATAGATTTGTGAGCTGATAGATTTTGCTTGATGTATTTGAATACATCATGCAGAGAAACCCACAGACCTCACCAAATCAGAAGTCCACACACCAAGGAGGGTAAGGACCCCTGACTTGGGGCAACTTTCTCATCCTTGGCACAGTAGACAGACACTAAAAAGGACCCAATCGGACCCTCTCTTCCCTTGGCTGCAGTACAGACTTGCAGCACACAGACACCTGCTGACATGTGCCTCCCCAGACAGACGGCTGAAGGGAAGGCCCAGCTGGCGCCTATGGAGGTGAGTCTATGTTGGGTACCTCATAGAGCCCCACCTGTATGGGTCGTCAATGATCCCTCTGTAGATCCACTTCTCCAGAACCTCAAAGTAGGGTGCGCTGGCCGCCTTGGTCAGATACAGGCATAGCTCCTGCGCCTGGCTGTCGCCTGTGTAGTTGAAGCTCCTGTCATGGAGAAGGCTCAGCGTCGACCCCCCCAGACACTCGCCTTTATCCACTGAGGTGGCTGCAGGAAGAAAAAGGGGGCTCACTGCTCGGAAGGAAGCGCCTCACACATGCCCAGCCATGCTCAAGATGCCCACAAGAACCTCTCAGTTAATCACCAACTTTCTAACTGGGACAGGTGCTTCTTTTTTGGGATATGCTCAAATTATGAAGTTGTAGTTGCGAACTAAAGCTTATCAGTAAAAGCTTCCAGAGATTTCCTCCTGCCAATTAATAAAACATGGAGCAACATGGGCTTTGGCCTCACAACCCTGGCATGTAAAAGTAAGCAGCGAATGACCAGCCCCGGCCAGGATGGTCCCTCCACGTGCCATTGTGCGTCTCCTTGTCACACACCAGGCACTGCACCATGGTGATATCTGACCTGCCATCCCACCCCCTCTGGGGGGGCGTACCAAGCGAGGCCAGGATGTCCACGGTGCGCATGGCTGGCTGGATGTAGAACCAGAGCTTCTGTAGCGACAGGAGGCCCTGCCTGTGCAGCTGCTCAAGCTGTGTGACAAGGATCAGATACTCCTTTAGCAGGGTTCTCATGGCAGCTGCCAAGGCGTGGTTCACCTGCCCATACTCGAAGGAAGACTTCTCCTCAATGAACCTACAAGGAAAGACAGACCAAACACTCTGAAGAGGCCAGAACTATGTTTTCAGACACAAGGTCATACTCTGAGTCCCTCCTTGAACAGGAAGCAACTGACTCACTCAAGCTCTTGTCCTGAGGGGAACTTCTGCACGGAAAGGAGTGAGTCAGGACACCGGACAGTGACTCACGCCCGTGCGGTTGTGTCAGGAATAAAGCTGAGTTGTATCCAGGAAGGGGCTTTCTTTGGAAGGGGATGTAAATGGTTTTCACGGTCACCAGGAGGTGACCTCCCCTCTTCCCACAGTGTGAGCTACAGGGGGCTGAGCACGTTGAGGTCAAAGCCGCACCTGGTGCCCACCTGGTCACAGTGGAGTAGCTGGCAGCCACAGGGAGGATTCTGCCCACCAGTTCCCTGATGGACAGGTCCAGGTTGGGGTCCACGAGGAAGGTCCGGCTCTGCCTCCCAGTCAGGGGCTGAGCAGTGATGTATCTGCCATCCACGCCCACCAGCACGTACAGCAGGTCCTCCACCACAGCCAACTCCTGGGAGGCCAGGGGCAGCGTGCCTGCAGGGCAGAGACACCACTGAGGCTCCACAGAGCTCCCCACTGCACAACCCCCATGGGCCCATATGCCAGCCGGCCACACTCAAACTCATCTCCTTCGTAATTCTCTCAAATACTCATGGGCATAGAAAGTTAAGTCCTGGCATTTGGCTTCAACTGATCCCACTGGGGCACCACAGGCTCAGATTCCAAAACCTCTGTAGATGGGCACCAGTAGGGCACTGGCCCAGGAGGCACTGGCGGCCCCAGACAGCACCAGCACCTCACTGCTGCTGGTTCTTCTTAAACGAAGCAAAAGAAAATCTCCTGTGCTCCAACAAATGCCTGATGTTTAAAAAAATAAAAGTAGAAATTTAAAAAGCACTTTTGATGTAAGCAGTACTTTCAGCATTTATAATCACAACTTGAGAAGTCTGGGTGCTCTGTGGTAAAAAAGAGGTTTTCTTTAAAAAGATATTTAAAACACTAAGAAACTCTGATAACCTCTATCACACACAGCAGAAGACGGCTGCGGGACACAGTTTGGTTTCCTTATGACCACCTGATGGACGCTTGAGGATGGTCCCAGGCCACCTACCCAGTCACTTCACTTCCTGAAGCCTCAATACCGACATCACTACCTACGCACACGGCCCGTAAATCACCAAGTCCCCACAAACAACTGTGTACCCAAGGGCACCTCCGTGCCAGGCACTGGGAACGACGAGCGAGCGAGGAACCATGGAGGGGCATGCTCAGACTTTAGGCTGAGCTCTGAAAGAGCTCGGGGGTTAGCAAAACATCACAGATAGCAGGAGCACAACGTGCCAGTGCCCCGAGGTGGGAGAGGCCTGACCCAGTGCCAGGCACTGGGAACGACGAGCGAGCGAGGAACCGTGGAGGGGCATGCTCAGACTTTAGGCTGAGCTCTGAAAGAGCTCGGGGGTTAGCGAAACATCACAGATAGCAGGAGCACAACGTGCCAGTGCCCCGAGGTGGGAGAGGCCTGACCCATGTGTATGGAATGCAGGGCAAGGGGGATGGGGAGGGCCGGCCCGGTGGCGCACCACTACAGTGCGCCGCTTGGGAAGCGCGGCAGCGCTCCTGCCGAGGGTTCGGATCCCACATACAGACCGGCCGCTCACTGGCTGAGCGAGGAGCGGGGGCAACACCGAGGGTTGCGATCCCGTTGCCGGTCCCAGTCCGGTACAGGCACGACACTGAGGGTTGCGATCCGTTGCCGGTCACAAAAAAAGACAAAAAGACAAAAAAAAAAAGGGGGGGGGGATGGGGAGACCATGGTAGGCAGTGCCAGCCTGACCACTGGGGGGTGTGGGGTGTCACAGGAGAGGCCCGCACAGGGCAGAGGCCTGACGTGGAAAGAGGACTCTGGTGATGATGCACAGTGAACCACAGAAAGAGGGAGGCAATGTGGACGTCAGATCTGAGCCGCCAACATGGAGCTGCTGGCCACAGGCTCAAGTTGGATAAAATAAGAAACCCTGGGTATTCCTTGCCGCTCTCTCCATGCTTCAGTGTCCAACAGCCCCAGTGGGGGTGGAGCTGTTGGGGAGGCGGGCACAGCCGGACAGTGGTACTGGACCACCTCAATACAGACAAACCCACCTAGAGAAAGAAGGGAAAAGGCCCACCTCAGAAGACAAGGCAGCAGAGGAGTGGTACTGGACCACCTCAACACAGACAAACCCACCTAGAGAAAGAAGGGAAAAGGCCCACCTCAGAAGACAAGGCAGCAGAGGGGCTAGAAAGCAGCGGCCAGGATAAGGCAAGAGCCACACAGTGGAGCCAGGCGGGGCTTGGAGGAGAGACTCACAGAGCCACATGCTGCCAGAAGGGCTGCAAAACCCAACCAAAACCTGTCCAGAGGGACACACGGCTGTCCAGCGGGACACACGGCTGTCCAGCAGTACCCACTGCCCCTCAGGCCGGAGAAGGCAGTGGGCCCAGGGGGTGAGGCTATGCCAGGTGTAGGCCAAGACAAGGATGACTGCACTGACCACAGGTATGAGCACGGACGAGACAGTGGATGGGGAGGAGCAGGGGCCACGTCAGGTGACGAGTACCATGGGAACATGGTGGGGTAAGCAGCTCCTCCTGGCTGCGAAATTCTGTGTGTTCCAAGGCCCAGCCTGGCCACTCTCATGCCACCCAACAGGTGTTCTCCAGAAGAGGTCACCAGCCAAAAATTGCACCAGGACCTGTGGTGTGGAACCAGACAGGCCGTGCACACGGACACTGACGCCACCTCAGAAACTGGCTGCCTATGGCTGTGGGACTGGCCGACGTGCGGCTGCCCCTTTTCTATGATGCTAAGAGGTCTCCTCCCCCTTGTGATCCACACCAGCCTTGGGTGGGCCGCTGCCCATTTCCAGTGGTAACTTGGGAGCTGCTGTGTTACTTGACAGTGCTTTCCTCTTTCGTACAACCCTTTCCCTAAATGGGGAAAAGGTTTTCTACACAAAACACCCCTGAGTGCTTCCTCTTCTGAAGAGCCAGCTCTGCCAAGCTCTACCATTGGCCGCAGGCTCAGAGCTGCGTACTGTGGGCCTGTTAGGGTGTCACCCAGGAAAAGGTTCTGAGTTGGGCCTCCTGTGGGGTCTGGAATCTATTATTTAGTTATTCAAAAAACACAAGAGCTCTGCGCACCACAGACAGTGTCCACAATCGCAGGAACAAACGCCTTCAGTGGCTCTCCCTGTGAAAGTGCACAGGGGAGCTCAGCCGACAAGGAGCCCTCGGCGTCTCAAGCCTGCCGACAGGTGTCAGTTGGCCCAGGAGGGCCCTTTTCTACGCCATAACTGCAGGACGCCTGGACCCCAGCACATGGGGCCCTCACCCTGCCCTGTGCCTGGTGCTATAGGACCCTGCCTGCCTAACCTGCTGCTGGGCGATTTAACGTGGTCCCCACCTGAACTTAGGCTAACTGAGCAGTTCTGTCTCCCGTGAGAACTTTAGCACTTTGGGTCACTGCTGAAAACATTCTACACAAAGTAGATTGTTTTCTATACCTTTTCATTAACTTGCAACTGGTTATGTTTACGTGGGGACAGGAAAAAAACTGACAGACTCCACATACCAGTTCTCACGGTTTTGGGAAAGGCCAGGCTCGATCTCTCTGTAACTCTGCCACAGAGCCACGCGTGTTGTGGTGAAGTTAACTGCGTCCTATCTTTTCTCTTCGATTTGGACCATCAGCAGTGGGGCGAGATGCCACGGGCAAGCTATATCCTTAACTTGTGAAGTCTCGTCTTTCAATCTACACAACTACTCATGAACGCTGACGTGCAGCCCATAGTGTACGAACGCACACATCCCAGATCCCCAACAACCTGTCCTGAAGGGACCACATGGCCTTGTCTGCATTTTGTTTAAGAGGCCTTTGAGCACTGTTGGAACACTGCCTACACGCTGCATCAGAACCTGTGCTGAAAGCACTGCTCAGAGAAAAGGGCTCCACACGGTCCTGACACCACAGGCCTGCACCAGAGTACCGGGACGCACAGCCCGGGGCGTCAGCTGTAGCTGCTCAGGGCACTGGCAGGAGGGCTAGAGGACCAGCTTGAAGACCCTGGTGAGTTGCTATTTGTTGGTAAACAGGGACAAGACTGTGGAGAAGAACGGCTGGTGGGTGCTGAGCATCCTGCCACGAGACAAGGCAGGCCCCAGGAGAGGCAGCAATGCCCAGGGCCCTGCTGCAGGCCTCCAGCCACTCCCACTGTCTCCCCTCCCTGCCTGGGCATCACCATGAAGCAAACATGTCATGAAATTCCTGAGTGTTAGGAATAAACACATCACATACCTATCGGCAAAGCCATGTCTGTGCTCAAACCTGAGCCAATCAGGAAATCCCCAACCAGTGTAGGTCTCTCATATACCCATGCTGGGAAGACAGGGAGGTGCTGGCCTGAATTTTTTTTGCTCTGCTTGTCTCGAAGCATCTTTCTGGTAAGTTCCAGAGACTGGTGAGGATATTATAAAAAACAAAAACAAAAAGAGATACTTTATTTCAAATACTGAGACACTGTGGCAACTAACAAATCTCTGGTGTGGAAAAAGTCAATCATTTAACACCTCTGAGGGTTCAGTCACATAGAAACAAATTACTTTTCTATGGGCCTGTCACAAAATAAGGGGCTAACCCAGTCCCTCTTCTCAGGGGTCTCAGTCCAGGGCAAAGCCCACAGGTAAATCATGAGCACCAGCAACAGGGACCACGGGGGAAGGAGTTGCACCTCATCACAGAGTGCAGCGTCAGACGAGGAAACTCCACCAGGAGTCTGAGTCGCTCTTTCCTGGCAATGACAAAGTCTGAACACAGCTTGCTGTGTGAAGACAAGTTTTGGTGGCTGATGTGCACCCTCACCCTGCCGGAGAAGGGCCCTGGGACGGATCTGGAAGGCACGGCCAAGAAAAGCTGGCTTCAGGTATGTGTATGAAGCACTGGCCCTCCTGAGGGACTGACCGCCAGAGGCTAACCACGTCAGGCTGGCCGGCCCAGCTTTTGGAAGCACCGACTCTGGGGAGGTAAGGGTAACAAACAGGTAGACTAGGTCCACACTGAGCAGGAGCCTCAGTTTCTGCAAGTGTCACACAGGAAGGGATGTGCGGGCCAAGACCCGGACAGAGACTCAGCACTGCATCCGGAACACAGAACATGCCTAACAAGCACCGTCTGTGTCCTCGCTAGAACAAGAAAGCCCCACAGGGACTTGAGAGAAGAGAGACTTGAAGATGGCGTACAGGACAGAAAACCAGAACCCAGGGAAAGCAATAAGTACAGGAGGAAGAAACTAATAATCTAGAAAGCATGATGTTGTAAAAAAACTGTCAAAACTTAAAGGAAATGGGGAGTAAGGATGCGTTGGCTCAGATTCTCAAAATTCCCTTGCAACAGGTGAAACTCACTTTCCTAGGTACATCAGAACCTTACTGCCACTATTTGTCTATACTTGTGGCCCAGAATTCTTGATTAAAAAAGAAATTAAACATACAAAGCTAGGTTGTAATCAAGCATAAAGCCTCAGCCTCTCCAAATTCAGATTCATTTTTAGCAGACAACAGAGATGTGCTTGTCTAGCTGGCACCAGCGCTGCAGTGAGCCTGGGAACCTGGGGACAGCTGTGGACAGGGTACCTGTTGCAGCGTGGAGCCCGTGGCCACACTGCCGAGCTGCTTCCTCAGCTCCTCGAGCTCCTGCATGGAGATCTTGGAGGCTGTGGCGGGGACGTTGAAGCTGGTAGTGCTGCTGGCTGCCGCAGAGGCCACGAGCTCCGCTCTCTCTTTCGCATTCTGTTGTAAATACTGCAGCGTCTGAAAACATGCAAAACTGCATTCGTGCCTGGCCAGCACCTTTGTGTACCTTGCCAGGCAAAGCAAACCCCCTCTTCTTTCTTTCCCAACTTAGACAACCATGCAAGGGAACAGGCAGGGGGGCTTCCCTATCAGCCCTTTACTTGCAGTCTGGTGTCCAGATGCTTCATGCCACGTGGTACCACCTGCCTCATCTCCAGCCTTCTTTGAAAAGCAATGCCAAACTTTCTGTTCAATTGTACAGGATCTCCTCTACACATCACCCGAGGCTGCCTGGCTGCCGTAACCATCTCCTTTTATCTGTTCCTAGTGCTGGCCATCAGCACATGCCTGGATGTGCCCCTTCACCCCCTTCACCCAAGATGGGAGAGCGGGGACCTAATACGTCACTGGATCGGCTTCTCCGCTTCAACATGTGCTTTTCTTAATATCAAAGTGCAACAGGCAGAAGCCAGCATGACTCACAGGGAGAAGTAACTGTGCACCTGCCCCAGAGGCAACTTCCACTTATATTACTTGTGTCTGTGCCCATTGTGACCATTTTTTCACTCTGATTCACAACAATACCTTCCTACATGTCCTCAAAGTGTTACTGGTGTGAGGCAGGGAACGAGTGAGTGGTACAGCGTGAGCCAGGGGAATGTTCCACATGTGAGTGCTACCTCGCTCCGTGCCACACACGTGCTACACCAGCCTTTCAGAGGCACTTGGAGAACATTTTCTCCCGATGTCCCCATGGCAGGTGGTGCCGAGGGCCATGCAGGTGTTTACCTCTTTGTCTTCTGTGAGCTTTGATAACAGGTACACCAGCGGGTCAAGGTTCCTCGTGTTTTTAGACTTCAGTTCATCATATTTCTTTAGGAAGTCCTCCGGAGTGCGAGAAAACTCTGCGATTTTAACCTCAAAAGCACAGATGTGAGTGATTTAATGACAATAATCAAGCACTTTTAAAACATTCAAGAAAATTAAACATAAAAACCAGTTTAGAGTTAAATCACGTACACCCTATCATGTATCTCTGCAATAAACTAGGAAAACTCATCTGAAGATGCTGTCAGACCTTTGCATGTTCCTCCATGGTTTCTCTCACTCCATGCTTAGGCCGCAGGTCAGAGACCACCACGGCGTGTCCCCCAGCTGTGTGCTTACCTCACACATTCAACTGCTCCCTCTGGGACTTATTATTTCTGCAGGGTTTGTTTTCCTCAATGACTCAGTGCTCCCTTATCATAAACTAAATACAACTGTGTGTGTCCCTGATCTCTCTACTCCTCTCAGTTCATGTGTCTGATCACCCTTGTGCCGTTATCAAGCTGTTTAGATAATTGAAGGTTTGTAATGCATTTTTAAAAACAGATTTCAAATTCAAAACTGTCTTTTACTGAAGATCTGTAATTACAAATTACATATCATTTGAATACGGAAACAATACTTTTAGGGATTTCAATGTGGTATACAGTAGTTTTCCTTCCCCACAGGAATGTCTGTGCATCACGAGTCTCTCCTCACGGGACACAGGGGATGGGTGGGTAGGAGTCAGGGTTCAGAGCCCAGCTCCCCACTAGGCCTCCATTTACCTGTCTGTACAATGGGGTGAGTGGCAGGAGCTGCCATGAGGAGGCAGGAGAATCACAGAGGTGAGCAAACATGTGGCCCATGAGAAGCACTGATAGGTGCTGTCTGCCATCATTGCAAGCACTGCTGTGGCCACCCGGAGCAGGGTGCTCACCTTGGCACTGTGAGCAGAGACGGTGGTTGTGACATATGGGGTCCTGTTCTTCTGCAGCAGGTCGATATAGACCTCGGCCCCATCTCCTCCGTGGACACGCAGCAAGCTGAGCAGCTCGTTGACATCGTGGTGAATCCGAAATTCACTCATAGTTTTAGCTCTAAGACACCAATATCACAATATGTTCTCCTAATGGTAAGAGGAAAGCTGTTTATAAAGTTAAAACGCTATAAGTTACATATTTTAAAAACAATCAAATTTGGGCTGAGCCCGTGGCGCACTCGGGAGAGTGCAGCGCTGGGAGTGCAGCAGCTGCGGGTTCGGATCCTATATAGGGATGGCCGGTGCGCTCACTGGCTGAGCGTGGTGCGGCCAATCTCACAAAAAGACAAAAAAAAAAAAAAAATCAAATTTGGCCCTTGTCAGGCCTTTGACAAACCAAATCACCACCTGGTCCAGCCCAGCCTAGGGGCCCCCGCAGTGTCCAGTAGGTCGGCCCCTCCCCACAGCCTCTCTTTGCAGCACTGGGCTCTGACTCACTGCCTCCCGCTTCAGCATGACATCCACTGTGTGCTCTGGTGGGCTCTGCGCCTTCTCTGAGTTCACCCTGGGCAAAGCTCCCTTTCCGAATCCAGAGGGCTGAGCCTCCTCTCTCCTGTCCAGTTTCCAGGCTCACTCCACAGCTCAGGGAGCCAGCGGCATGTGGGCAGTGGGCATGTAGTGCCATGGTCTCCTGGGTGACTCCACCTACACATGGCCTGGGCCAGCAGGGATCTGCTCTGCTGCTCCCCTCAGCTGGTGGACAAAGCTTTCTGGTCCCAGCTGTGCAGACATGATGGGCCTGTCCTTTGGGGGTCTAGGATCTACACTGGGAGTTCTGCACAGGTCTAAGCCATTCCTGTCCCAGCACGGATATTAAAACTCCCGCTCTGCCTATGAGGCCCACACCTAGTTCTCAAACCCTGAACCATTCAGCTGCAGCTCCACTCACACCTCCAGCTTTGCATTCTTTCTGGTACCCAGAATGTTTCCTTTTCTTGCCCAAGCATGGCTACATATGAAGATGCTTTTGGTAAGATTTCTACACACTCCCTACGCATTTGACCTGGGTGGGATCCATTTCAGCTCCATCGCACTTTGGCTGGCTGTCCTGGAGTCTCACCATTAAAGACACAATCCGCTGAGATCAAAACCATAACAGATGTCGCCAAGTGGGCAGTAGCAGACCACATGGGGACTTCTATTCTCCCACTGATGACTGGTCCAGTTAGCAATCATTATCAAGAATGTTGATAAAAGCGCATTAAGACAAATACACATGGGCAATCAGCTATCCATTAAAAAATGACATAATCAAACTCTGCAGGCTCACAGAAACATTTCAATATACCTGCACAAGGATTCTTAATTTGGGATCCAAGAATAACAGAAAAACTGTTGGAAATCATAGGCAAAATCATTTATGTCTGTGAATTTTCTGAGATGATCTTTTAACAAATTCTCAAAGATTCTGTGACCAAGGGCCAGCCTGGGGCTCACTTGGGAGAGTGTGGTGCTGATAACACCAAGGCCACGGGTTCAGATCCCTACATAGGGATGGCTGGTTAGCTCACTTGGGAGAGTGTGGTGCTAACAACACCAAGTCAAGGGTTAAGATCCCCTTACCGGTCATCTAAGAACCACTGTGCTAGCAGCTCCAGTGAAGATAAGCCATAAAACATCAAGTACAGGAGACTCAGCACATACTCCCCAATATGCATAGTTACTAATGAATGTTAACTTAGAATACCGAGAAAGCGTGATGGAAAACAGTTTGTTGGCATATGAACATAAAATACTGGTCAGAAGCACGGTGTCTCCAGAGAAGGTGGAACAATCTCATGAGCTGGTACGAGCTGCTAGTGCACAAGGCACTCACGGTAACCACAGTTATGTGCACAAGACCAGCAGGGCATGGGTGTGGAGTCCTGCGCAGTCTGGACCCTGACTTGGCCACTTACAGACTGTGGGATTCTGAGGAAGGAACTTGTCCTCTCTAAGCTTCCTCAGAAAAGGGGGAGTAACAGACCTGACTCAGAGCTGTTGCGGAGATTAAATAATTCTTATAAAGCACTGATGGGCACACACATAGTGAGTTCTTGCACTACTGTCTCTAGGAAAACAGGAGCAAATGTTGCTTTTGTTACTACATAAAATCTACTACCTGGAAAGTTAATTCTGTTATCTGGGAAATGGTTAGTTTCACAAAAGAAAATCAGATCTGAATCACTGACAGCATGTTAAACTACCAGTTCCCCTGTTATAGTCACAGGAAGCCTGGGTGAAGCACTGCAAACTACTCGCAACACAGAAAAGACAACCCAAACCCTCCGACCGACGGCCTCTTGGGATGCAAGTGCAACTGGTTTTACCCATATTTTCCAAGGCTTCCGGAGGAATGTGGGTTGTCCTGTACCTGTTGGAGGACAATTTGTCATGCTAGATGGCAAGAAAATAATTTTCCACCAAAACCAAGCGCCCCTCCACTAGATACAAGTGGGTATAGAAAGATGCTTCTGAAGAAAGATCATCTAAGTAAATATTTACTTAAAAAATATCTTCAGGGGCCGAGCCCGTGGCGCACTCGGGAGAGTGCGGCAGCGCTCCCGCCGCGGGTTCGGATCCTATATAGGGATGGCCAGTGCGTTCACAGTGCTCACTGGCTGAGCGCGGTGCGGCCGGTCTCAAAAAGGACCAAAATATATATATATATATATATATCTTCAGGAAACTTTACATTTGTGGTAGAAATAAAAGCACAGACAACCCCACATCACAAGTATCAATCCTACAAAGAGCCTGTGATTCCATGTGAATTTGGGGACAAGTCCTATAAGAAGGCAGTTCTCACCTGCATGTAGTACCTACCCCTACAGGAATTTTGGAAATGTATTGGGACAACTTCTGTTTGTCACAGTAACTGAAAGGGTGCTCTTGGTACTGAGCAAGGGCCAGGGATGCTAAACATCAACAGAACTATCCCCACCAAAAATGCAGACAGTGTCCCCACTGAAGAACGTTTGACTGTAACAGCTTACTTGAGTGATGTTTCTGACTTCTCATCTCTATTAGTCACCATAAATGGACAAACCCAACGTCTGCAACTGAGCAGAACTCATCTGCTCTTCACGCGGAGTGTGACCTGTCACAGGCATGCATGCAAGTAGGCAGTGGCATGGGTGTCAATTCCACCACGAATGGGTCAGGCACACAGTCCTGGGGAACGACACTGATTAAAACACAGGGAAGAGAAAAAGAGCCTCTGTCGCGAGCTCAAAGCTAACTGTACAAGTACTGGCTTCAAAAATGTTATTTTACAGCTTGCGAAAAATGTCAAGAGCCCAGATGCTTTTACAGAGACAGAAAAGTGTGAGATGAAAAACAGCCTGAGCCTGTAGAGAAGCTCTTCTTAGGCCTAAAAACGACCTGTTGGGGATGAAGCCACGAGCCCTCATTTCCAGAATGAAGCGACAAAAAGTCTTAAATCTTATTTTTAATCTCTAAAACCCAGCAGCGCCCCTTGTCCCTCAGCACCGCCCATGTGAACATGTAAGTCCTCGCAGGAGAACTAGGTCGGGGGAGGAGTGGGCGCGGAGCCTCTGGGAGCCGCAGGGGCTGATCCTCGCAGGGAATGTCCGGCGTCCTGCGCCTGTCTCGGGCGCCAAGGCTCCGCTCCACTCAGGGGACTGTCTCACCAGCTGGGCATCTGTACCCGCCGCGCTGCAGGCCCACGGAGGCAGGGACCTCCTCTAATCGCTCACCCACGGGAGCTGACGGCACGAAGGAGACCGGGCAGACCCAACCGTGGCAGTCAGGAAAGTCCTTCGGACCACGGGGAGTCCCTTCAGCGCTTTAGGCAAGAAGGGCTTCAATGAAACGTGGGTTTTCCAACGGCCACTTTGGCACCAGCTCAGCGACTGGTGTGCAGGGGACAAGGCCGCCGCAGCGCGCACACGGGTGGAGGCAGGGCGACGACTCTCAGGTCCCGACCATGGCGAGCTTCTCCTGCAGGACGGGGACGTGCAGCGGCATCTCTACCTCCAGGACGTGCTCACACAAGTGGCCGAGGCGCCCGAGAGGCCCAGGTGAGCGGCTTGGCCCGGCCAAGTGCCGTCCCCTTGCCTCACCGCACTTCGCGCCTGGTCCCTGCACAGCCTGCCCCCGCCTGCGCCCCTGTCCAAGCCTAGGCGCGGCTGGCTCCCGCACCACATAGTCAGTGGGCATTTACTTGATAAAGAAAAGTAGGGTTTGGGATTGCGAAGGAGCATCTGGAGCCTTTCCGGACTTCCTTAAGGGCAGAAAGTCCAGCTCAGGTCCCTTGGCCTCAGCGGAGGTGGCAGCCCTGAGACGGGTCTCCTTCCCTAGGGTGCCCGAGTTCGCCTGTCAGGTGGCGGGCTGCTGCCAGGTATTCGACGCGCTGGAGGACTACGAGCACCACTACCACACGCTGCACAGAAATGTGTGCTCCTTTTGCAGACGGGCCTTCCCCTCTGGACACTTGCTGGACGCCCACATCCTGGAGTGGCACGACTCGCTTTTCCAGATCCTGTCTGAGAGGCAGGACATGGTGGGTGACGTGGCGGGGGTCAGAGCACCACCCCGCTGTCGGGGCAGGGGCACGGCTGGGGGCACCGTCCCTACCCTTGGCACACCCGGGCCACGTGAGCATCACAGGGGGGAGGGCGCGGGGGCCACCGTGGAGCTGACGCCGTGTCCCTTGCAGTACCAGTGCTTGGTAGAAGGCTGTGCGCATAAGTTCAGGACCAGTGAAGACCGGAGGGACCACATGGTGAGGCTGCACCTGTACCCCGCGGATTTCCGTTTTGATAAACCAAAGAAAAATAGAGGGTACGTGAGGCGCCAGGCTGTGCGTCCTGTCCACTTGGGCACGCAGACACCCCTGACTTTAGAAGAGCCTTTTGCCCAGCTTGCACGCACAGACGTCAACTCAGACGCTGTGGTTAAGCACCTGCGCTGCTCTTAGTGTGACGCTCAATTGCAGGTGGCTGAGACGCTGACTGGAGGAGGTTGCTAGTCAGGGGGGTGCACAGACGGGTCGCTTTTGCTGACAGGAAGGGGAGTGCCTGGCGGGTGTTGGGAAGGACGGGGTGTGTGTGTGTAGGAGGGAGCCCCTGCATCCGAGACGAGGTGTGTGTGTGTGTAGGGGAGAGCCCCCCCTGAGTGTGTGTGTGTGTGTGTGTGTGTGTGTGTGTAGGGGGGGATCTCCTGTGTGCGTGTGTGTGTGTGTGTAGGGGGGGAGCCCCTGTGTGCGTGTGTGTGTGTGTGTGTAGGGGAGGAGCCCCCGTGTGCGTGTGTGTGTGTGTGTAGGGGGAAGCCCCTGTGTGTGTGTGTGTGCGTGCGTGTGTGTGTGTGTGTGTAGGGGGGAGCCCCCTGTGCGTGTGTGTGTGTAGGGGAGGAGCCCCCATGTGCGTGTGTGTGTGTAAAGGGGAGCCCCCGTGTGTGTGTGTGTGTGTGTGTGTGTGCGCGCGCGCCCCCGTGAAGGGGCGACCTTCCCTGGGTGTGCTAACAGGGCTCTTTGGGAATTTGTCCCTCTCCTTTCGTGGGGCCCTCTGGTTTTTCATTTGTCCTATCGGTGTGTGTTTACAAACTCCACAACAAAGCTATTTATTAAGACATTACTGTCTTAAGTGGTGTGGATTTCTTTGCCTCTCTTTTTAACTGATTCTTTCAAGTGAATCTTCATAAACATCTAAAAATTGCATTGACTGAAGTCTTTTCACACTAACTTGTTTTCTCAAACAGTACTTTGCTGTTTAAAATAAAATAGTTCGAAGAATCTACTATAATATGGTTAAGGACTTGAGCGTAAGGTTATTTTCTCCTTTCTGAGGAATGATTTTAAAGAGAAAAACCTGAGAATACTTGACTGAGACATTGGTATTAAGGAGGAGACTGTTTTATAGTCTCTGGCTAATTTTAGTACGTTTCTCACGCTTAGGAAAAGCTGTTTGGCATGATTGGCAGGCATTCACCACATGGCACCATACAGTGACTGTTTTCAAGAGACAAGTGCAATTGTTATGCTTAAACTTAGGAAATACAGAGTTTATTATGTAGATAATGACCTCGCTGGAATCATTGTCCTTTTCCCAGTAGCCTGAAAACTACACAACAAAACTAGACTATTGCCAAATAGTAAGAAATTACCTTTGCAACCAAAATGTGTGTCCTCGCACGTTCGTGGCTGGGGCGTGGGCCGCTCTCAGCGCTCTGTCCTCCGCAGCCCAGCCTCGCCGGGACCTGGTGCCAGGGAGCAGTCGGACGGGGACGCCATGGAAGTGAGCTGCGAACCCGGGGCATCCTCCGTGGCACCCGCGGGCGGCCGGCGGGCCTGCAGCCAGAGGTCAGTGTCTTGACTCGGGCTCGGCCCTGGGCCAGTGTTCTCACAGCAGAAGCTAAGCCTGGGTAAGGACGCCGGCTTCCGCGGGAGGCGAAGCTGGATGCGCTGCCCCTGGGGTGGCCCAGCTCCTTCGCTCCCTTTGCTCCAAGGCCCTGGAACAAAGGGGCCCTGCTCCTTTTCGTTGCTGTCCACACTGGCTGGAGAGCGGACCCTTGCGATTGCTGCGGTTACAAGCTCGCAGTCTGCCTGTCTGGTGCTAGCTGCGCCTTTATTAAGTTAAAGGTGACCTAAAATCTAATTTGGGGAAAATGTTGAACAAATGAGGAAAAAGTCGCAAATAACCCAAACTGGCAGGAAGATGAACTCGTGTGCCCCTTGGGTACCTGCACTTTGGCCTGTGAGTCCTGGTCGCCAGCGGGCACTTAGGGTCTCAGCGGGACACCGGGTGGCAGGAAGCCTGAGCCTGGGAGCATGACAGGAGTGGCCTGCTCAGCTGAGCCCTTCCGAGCACCCACCGTGGCCGGGGAACCACTCAGGCAGCGGCTCGAGGCAGGCAGCAGGAAGGGAGCTGCCCAGAGTGGGGAGGAAACACAAAGACTGCTCTTATGAGTTTGATTGATTGTTGGCAAAGACAACATTGTCATTTAATGTGGACCTTTTTCCATTCCAGGATACCTTCTACCATCTGTTTTGGTCAGGGTGCATCTCGAGGGTTTAAAAGCACCAAGAAGAGAAACAAACAGCATTGACAAGTTCAGACGGAGAGAAAGAACCAGGTGTCCGAGCAGACCCCAAGGTGGGAGGTGGGGTTGGTGGGGGCCTTTCCTCTTACGGTCTGGTGCGTTTGCACTGGGCCAGGCGTTTGCCATCTTCTCATTTTGGTCCTTTGGCAAGTGACGTCGGGCCCTGCTGGAAGCAGTGAAGGACCTGCAGATTCAGGAAATGCCCTTGACATGCTGCAGGGAATGCAGGGTGGGGACTGGCCACCTCCCTCTGCATGGACCACACTGGGAATGTCCTTTTTAAATGTGTGAAGTAAATGTCCTTCACTGATGGTCTCTAGTCTTCATTTCTGTGTTGTTGAGCTAGACACGGAAATGAGCAATTATCGCCCATGAGTATTTTTTTTTCGACATTTACATTTCAGGAAGATTTAAAGTGTTAGGACCTCTCAGAGGTGGGTGACTGGGTAGGATGCACTCAGCTGGGTCTCTGACCTTCACAGCTTTGAGAGGGATGCCCAGAGGATCCCTGTGCCCGCACTCAGTCAGCATGCCCCATGTAGAGTGTAGAGATGTGGGATGCAGCATGTCGAGGAGAAATCAGCGGCTTTGATAAAGTCGGCTTTCGGGGCCAGGCCTGGCAGAGCGGGACCCACCAGCTGTGTCTCCCCAGGGCCCATCCCCCACGGTGCATGTCCGGTGTTCCTGGACTGCCTGTGCTGGCCCCACAGCTCTGGAGCTTCTGCTCATTGCTGTCGGGGCCAGGCCTGGCAGAGCGGGACCCACCAGCTGTGTCTCCCCAGGGCCCATCCCCCACAGTGCATGTCCGGTGTTCCTGGACTGCCTGTGCTGGCCCCACAGCTCTGGAGCTTCTGCTCATCCAGCCCCAGTGGGACAGGCCCCTCTCCATCTCAACTAACCAACCCCTTTTTCTGGGCGTTGGGTTTGGCTGGAGGCAACTGGTGGTCATACATGACTCCTGGCACAGAGGCTGCTGCCCCAGCTGCCATGAGCCACCCTCAAAGCTCTCCAGGGACCTGCAGTAGAGATAATCTCGAAGGTGGCCTCAGGGTCAGAGAAAACACACTTTGCACTGGCACTTCATGCACTGAAAACTAAAGGCAGGTTACTAAGTGTTGAAGTAAAACATCCTTTAAGTACAGGCCCTGGTACGTTGAGGCAGAGAGACCTAATGTGCACTTTTCTGGGGTGGGAGAGGAGCATTTGCTGAGGGTGGCTGTGGCAGGGCTGCCCAGGGGGGCTGTCTTTGCCTCTTGAGAAAACACAACATACAGAAAAACGCAAACATGTAAAAATGCTGTTCTTTCCCCATCTCCCCTGGGAGGCCATGTCCCAGCCGGTCCACTCCTCCCACTCCTGAATGTCCTCCCTGTGCAGCACGACAGCCCCTATGCCAGCTTCTAGCTTGATGCCTTAGCCTTTTCTAATGGCATATTCTGCTAGGATTCTCTTGTCCACAGTGTTAGCCTCCATGTAGGGCTGTGTTTTGTAGTCTGGGGATGGTCAGTCCTGGGTTCCAATCCTAAGTTTCTTCCTACCTAGAAAGCTGTGTGTTATTCGGTCTCAGTTTTTCTTCTGTAAACAGGGAATGTAAACCTTTGGTGTGAAGAATGTTACTGATGCAGAAAAAAAAGAGCATCATAATTTGCTGTGAGCTGCATCAGTCTCTAAAGAGGTGCTTGTATTTCTGCTGCAAAATCTGGGTGTGGCTTCCAGGTCATAGGTGTCCAGGGAACACAGAGCAGAAACATTTTGCAGGAAGACATTCACATGCAGAGAGTGCAGGGGAGTCAACGTCAGGGCTGGCTTGCCTGGCACGAGACAGTATTTAAGGTGACTGAGTGTGCATTAGTCTTTGTGGTGGAAAAATAGGATTACTGCACTTGGGTTTACATGAAAATTCAACTTCTTACTGTTTGAGAGACCAGACCTATTGGAGTGACTCTGTTTTTTTCTAACTGGTGTGTGAAGTGCTCAGTCACGTGTGGAGCAGAGCAGAGGTTGCTTATCTCTCATTCAGTGAGACACCTTGATCCAGGACTCTGGGTCCTGGATCACATTCAGCACCTGAGTTGGGCACCGCTGCCTGTCCTCCAAAATCCGTGCAGCAAACTGCTCCTGCTCTTGCTCCTTGTCTTGCCTTTCCTAGCATTCCTTTTCTCCCACTCTGTGCCTTACTTTGGATGGAGTGAGCCTCTTTTCTCATTCTGTTATTAGGTGCCTCCAATCTGTTATTTTAGTACTTATCCTAAAAATTTGAATGTAAATACTTACTTTGTTCATATTTAAGATTAATCGATATCTTCTTTCTCCTAGCAATAGACACTTAAAGCAGAAGACACTTAAACCCCACCCCATCGTGCCATATGTATTATTATAGTTGTATATTTTAGTTCTAGATCCCTTTCTGATCCTGTAAGACATCATTACTGTGGGTCTATATGGCCAGTGTTGTGTAAAATTGCCCACCAAGTCACCACATCCTTTGTTGGGGATTCCTTCTTACCGCTCAGACTGAAGAACATCCTTCTCTGAGTTTCCTTCGCTGGGAGTCTGTGGTAACAAATGTCTTCTGTTTTGCTTGCCTGAGAAGGTCGTGTTCTTCTCTTGGAAGGTGCTTTTGTTGGGAACACAATGTGTGGCTGGCAGTTCTTCCCCAAACATGGTGAGTACATCCACTGTCTTCTGACTCACACCGCTGCCAAGAACTCACTTGTCAGTGTTATTGTCATTTAGGAGATCATTTATCTTTTCCCTCTGGCTGCTTTGAAGATCTTTCTTTGTCTTTGGTGTCCTACAGTTCCACCAAACTATGTCAGAGGAAGACACCTGTCCACCCTGCTTGCTGTTCACTGGGTTTTCTGAGCCTGGGAGTCTGTCCCTTCATATCGGCCTCTGCCCCACTCTCTCTTCCTTCTGCTTCTGAAACTCCAGTTACGTGAGTGCTAGACGTCCTCACTCCATCCTCTGTGTTTCCTGATAGCTTTTTCATATTTGCCATCTTCATCTGTCTTTGTGACTTTCTGCATATTTCTTCAGATCTACTTTTCAGTTCACTAATTCTCTCACTGTCTGTATCAAATGTGCTGTCAAGCTCACTCAGTTTTTAGTTTCAGTAATTATGATTTTCAATTATGTAAGTTCTAGGTTGCTTTTCTAATTTTCTGGATTTCTGTAGCTCTTGTTCATCATATTTCAATCCATTCTTTTATTTTAAAACGTTAAACTTATCTTATCTTCTGTGATTTTTAATATCAGTATCTGAAGACTGCGGAGCCGACTCTTCTGTCCACTGCTTCTCCTGACCCTCTCATGGTGCCTTGTTTCCTGGCGTATTTTGTGATTTTGGGCTGTGAGTTTGTATTTCTTGGAACCTTACCTCTGGAATTTCTCTAAGAGATTCTGGGCTCTTCTAGAAAAAAATTAGTATTTACTTCTGCCATGTAACTGGGGTGCTATCGATCTAGCACCACTTTAAAATAAAGCACTGGGTGCGGGTTTTGTTGTGTTTTGTTTTTGACCACAAAGACAGTGAGTTTTTGGCTGCAAAATCCACATGAGGGCCAGCTTATGGTTACAGATCTCTGGGAAGAGCTTCTCTTTATTTAGCGCCTTGGCAAATTTTCTTTTAGTTTCTGGGGAGATTTCATCCACTAAAGTATTAAAAACAAAACAGTTCACTTTTTTCGCAAGAGTCCATGATATTTGAACCAAGACCACTCCTTCCCTTCTGCAGATGAGAACACAGGCTCCCTCCTCCCCACCACTGAGCTGGAGGGCTTTCTCCCCAGGAGGAGCAGGACTTGGTCCTTTCTCATTCCTGCCCCCAGCTGCCTACTGCTGAGGCTGCGTCCGGGGTGAGTGTGGTTGAGAGGAGGGTCTCCTGCCCAGCCCCCACTCGTGGAACACTAAGAATCCTGGGGTGAGGGCTAGTCCCAGGCCAGAAGAGGCAACTGAGCACCTCTCCTCTACTGAGCCCCTGGAGAAAGGAAGCCGCTCAGAGAGAAGTTTGCCACTGTCTTCAGCCCAGTCTCAGATTTTGCCTGAAGGGAGAAGCAAGTCAGAAGAATAGATTGCTCCTAATCTCTCATAGGAACTGACTTCACTTGCAACAAACTGTGGAGAAGTTCAAGCCTAAGGTCAGTTTCAAGAACCCCCGAAATTGTGGTGAAAGACAATTGGAAGGAGATTCAAGACACAGGCTAATTTTCAGCAACTGCGAGTGGATGAGACCTCAGTCGTGACCCAGAGCATCGGATCTCATTTTCCTCCTTGGCACTTCTTGGACCACCCTGCCTCCTCAATCCCCTCAATAAATGGTTTGACACGCCGTGCAAAAAATAAAAAAAGACACAGGCTGAACTAGAGGCCAGCTAGTTTACAGGAGAAAGCCAGGAAATAAGAAAACAGAGTGGGGGCCTCCTGGGGTCAAAACAAGTGTCAAATACTGACCTCAGAAAAGATTCTCTCAAAGAAGCCAGAATTTTGTTGGATTTGTTTGTAGAGAAATTTATGCCCTGAGCATTGTTGAAACCAATGGAATAATCAGCTGGCAATTAGTGAAGTTTAATAGCTGGATGTGGTCAGGGAAAGGGAGCATGAGAGTCTCATCAAAAGCACTGTTACTGCAGGGTGACATCAGAGGCCTAAGACCGTGGGGTTGGGGTGGGGTGAGGAACAGTCTTCACTAAAATAATCCAGACCGTCACTAACAGCTTGACGAGCAACTAATAAGCCCCAGAGGAGGGGGACCAGGAACCAGAGTTGCTATAATATATTATTTATAATGTCCAATGCACAGCAAAAAAATTATGAGGCATGCAAAGAAACAGTGTATGACCCATATACCTAAACAAGAAAGCAAGAGAAACTACCTGTGAGAGTGGCAGGATATCAAATTTATCAGAAAAGACTTCATCAGAGAAGTAGCCATTATAAGTATGTTCACAGAACTCAAGGAATCTATTAAAGAAGTAAAGGAAGAAATGATGACAATATCTCACAAATAGGGAATTTCAATAAAGAGAATTTTTAAAAAAAACTAGATGGAAATTCTGAAGTTGGAAGTTCAATAACAGAAATTTTAACAACTCACTAGAGGGGCTCAACAGTAGAGTCAAACTGGCAGAAGAAAGAATACATGAACTTGATGATAGGTTAGTGGAGGTTATGCAAGCCAAAAAACAGAGAAAAAAATGAAGAGACATGAAGAGAGCTTCAGGAAGATGCGGGATACACTTAAGCACACCAACACACATGTGACAGGAATACTAGAAGAAGAGGAGATAGAGGGAAAGGAGCAGAAAAACATTCAAAGAAATAATGGCTGATAACTTCCCCAAATTATTGAAAAACAACCCACACATCTAAGAAGCTCAACAAACACCAAGTAGAATAAATGCAAAAAGAACCACAGAAAAATCCTAATAAAAACGCTGAAAGTCAAAGACAAGGAAAAAGTCTTGAAAGTAGCAAGACAAAAAAACTACATATTACTTTTACAAGGGAACCCCAATAAGATTAACAGCTGACTTCTCATCAGAAACAATGGAGGCCAGGAAGCCACAGGGTAACATTCAAAGAGCTCAAAGAAAAAAACTGTCCAGAATCCTACATCTAGCAATCAGAATGGAAGAGGAGACATTACTACCTGCCTTATGGAAAGAATTATAAAGGAAAACTGTGAATAACTGTGTATTAGTGCGTTTCTGTTGCTTATAACAAAACACTTAAGGGCCGGCCCGGTGGCGCACTCGTAATAACTTCGTATAGCATACATTATACGAAGTTATACGAATGCCAGCTTCTAGCTTGATGCCTTAGCCTTTTCTAATGGCATATTCTGCTAGGATTCTCTTGTCCACAGTGTTAGCCTCCATGTAGGGCTGTGTTTTGTAGTCTGGGGATGGTCAGTCCTGGGTTCCAATCCTAAGTTTCTTCCTACCTAGAAAGCTGTGTGTTATTCGGTCTCAGTTTTTCTTCTGTAAACAGGGAATGTAAACCTTTGGTGTGAAGAATGTTACTGATGCAGAAAAAAAAGAGCATCATAATTTGCTGTGAGCTGCATCAGTCTCTAAAGAGGTGCTTGTATTTCTGCTGCAAAATCTGGGTGTGGCTTCCAGGTCATAGGTGTCCAGGGAACACAGAGCAGAAACATTTTGCAGGAAGACATTCACATGCAGAGAGTGCAGGGGAGTCAACGTCAGGGCTGGCTTGCCTGGCACGAGACAGTATTTAAGGTGACTGAGTGTGCATTAGTCTTTGTGGTGGAAAAATAGGATTACTGCACTTGGGTTTACATGAAAATTCAACTTCTTACTGTTTGAGAGACCAGACCTATTGGAGTGACTCTGTTTTTTTCTAACTGGTGTGTGAAGTGCTCAGTCACGTGTGGAGCAGAGCAGAGGTTGCTTATCTCTCATTCAGTGAGACACCTTGATCCAGGACTCTGGGTCCTGGATCACATTCAGCACCTGAGTTGGGCACCGCTGCCTGTCCTCCAAAATCCGTGCAGCAAACTGCTCCTGCTCTTGCTCCTTGTCTTGCCTTTCCTAGCATTCCTTTTCTCCCACTCTGTGCCTTACTTTGGATGGAGTGAGCCTCTTTTCTCATTCTGTTATTAGGTGCCTCCAATCTGTTATTTTAGTACTTATCCTAAAAATTTGAATGTAAATACTTACTTTGTTCATATTTAAGATTAATCGATATCTTCTTTCTCCTAGCAATAGACACTTAAAGCAGAAGACACTTAAACCCCACCCCATCGTGCCATATGTATTATTATAGTTGTATATTTTAGTTCTAGATCCCTTTCTGATCCTGTAAGACATCATTACTGTGGGTCTATATGGCCAGTGTTGTGTAAAATTGCCCACCAAGTCACCACATCCTTTGTTGGGGATTCCTTCTTACCGCTCAGACTGAAGAACATCCTTCTCTGAGTTTCCTTCGCTGGGAGTCTGTGGTAACAAATGTCTTCTGTTTTGCTTGCCTGAGAAGGTCGTGTTCTTCTCTTGGAAGGTGCTTTTGTTGGGAACACAATGTGTGGCTGGCAGTTCTTCCCCAAACATGGTGAGTACATCCACTGTCTTCTGACTCACACCGCTGCCAAGAACTCACTTGTCAGTGTTATTGTCATTTAGGAGATCATTTATCTTTTCCCTCTGGCTGCTTTGAAGATCTTTCTTTGTCTTTGGTGTCCTACAGTTCCACCAAACTATGTCAGAGGAAGACACCTGTCCACCCTGCTTGCTGTTCACTGGGTTTTCTGAGCCTGGGAGTCTGTCCCTTCATATCGGCCTCTGCCCCACTCTCTCTTCCTTCTGCTTCTGAAACTCCAGTTACGTGAGTGCTAGACGTCCTCACTCCATCCTCTGTGTTTCCTGATAGCTTTTTCATATTTGCCATCTTCATCTGTCTTTGTGACTTTCTGCATATTTCTTCAGATCTACTTTTCAGTTCACTAATTCTCTCACTGTCTGTATCAAATGTGCTGTCAAGCTCACTCAGTTTTTAGTTTCAGTAATTATGATTTTCAATTATGTAAGTTCTAGGTTGCTTTTCTAATTTTCTGGATTTCTGTAGCTCTTGTTCATCATATTTCAATCCATTCTTTTATTTTAAAACGTTAAACTTCTATGAAAACCCTACAGCTAACATTATACCTAATGGCGAAAGACTCACAAGATCAGGAACAAGACAAGGATGTCTGTCCTTGCCACCTCTGTGCAGCATCATACCAGAGGGTCTAGCCAGGGGATTTAGACAAGAAAAAGAAAAGGCATCCAGACTAGAAAGGAAGAGTAAAAGTATTTCTATCCATAGATGGTATGATAAGGAATCTACTGAAGAAAATTATTAGAACTGAAATGAGTTCAGCGAGGTTGCAGGATGCAAGATCAATATAAAAAATCAATTGTATTTTTACACACTCCAATAAGAAATCCGAAAATGGAATTAAGAGAACAATTTCATTTGCAATAGCATCAAATGAATAAAATACGTAGGAATAAATTTAACAAGAGAAGTGCAAGACTTGTACCCTGAGAACCATAGCTCATAAACTTAGTCCCAAGAAATGAAAGAAAACGTAGATAACTGGAAAGATATCTCATGCTCATGATTGGGAAACTTGTTAAAATGGCAAATTCTCTAAAACAGAGAATCTACAGAATCAACACAATCCCTGTCAGAATCCCCATGGACTACTTTATAGAAATCGACGAGCTGATTCTAAAATTCACATGGAACTGCAAGGAACCCAGAAAGTGAAAAGACTGTAAGATTTGGGATGAATCCCAACCTCACATAGAACGGGAAGGCTCGCCTCGAAGAGACCACAAGACCACAAGCAATGCAATTACCAAGAGGTTTATTATTTCCAACGCGTTGGGTTCTCACCGCCAAGCTGGGGTGAGACCCCGTTAGGCTTTTTAGCTGTCTTTTTATACATTTTTTAGGGGCAACTTTTCTGGCAGCCAGGAGACAAAGCCATAAGCA